CGATCCCCGCCGGTTTTGGGGGTGAAAAATTTTTTCCTCGAAAAAAATGGAAAGGGGTTAACCTTCAATTTTTTTCGAGCAAAAAATTTTTCACCCCCAAAACCGGCGGGGATCGTTTCTTTATGTTAAGTGACCCCAATCGAATTCACAAACGGGGCCCATTGGTCCCCAACGTCCATAGGACCCTCCTCACCACAGGATTTCTGATTATTGATTCCGATTATACACATGTAGTTTTGCTCGGGCCTTTATTCTGGCCTGAGAAACTGAGCATTCACTCGCGAACGAGATTCTTCGTGGGAGATTACCGCGAGCCAGTTTATGCCTGGTAGATGGCCATTTTTATTTTCCCCGGGACGTAAATCGCCGGGCAATTTCGACGGAGAAAAATTCATTTCAGACTGTTCATTTATTTTCCGTTTCGCCATCTCGTTAATCATCAGTTTCTCGGACATTGTCACCACTTTGTCGCAGGTCAGGCTGAAGAATTTTTATCCACCGCTGGAATGCGCAACCATTTGCGAGAAGAAATGAGAATGACATACCGCGCCCCGGAAACCGGATTGCGAAATTCTCGCACTCTTTTCCCTCAACAAACACTCGGCTACCGTCTAATCAACCGAGACAGCCACGCGTCCGGCCCCTTCTCTCGCTTATATTTTTATCGGGCAAATTCCTTTTTCTTTTATCCGGGGATACGACGCTCGCGGGCCCGGAATTAACGAGTCCATCAGAACATTCCGGAGGGGCGTTTTGTCACCTTTTGTAGGTCCACTTTCCTCAATTATTGATTATAAAAATGGAAAATTGTATTCATTAAAAAATTAACCGTCGTGTAAACTTTTTTTTTCATTCACTAATTCTTTCTGGAAAATTGAAAAAAAATTGTATTTTTTTTGTAATTGTTCAATTAATTCAACAAATTGGCGATAATTGAAGAATTTTCGAATCGTTTCAAGGGAATTTTTAAGTTTCGAATGGAATTCAAGAAAATCGTCGAAAATTTGGAGAAAATTGCAATTTGTTTTTCAATTCTCATTAAAAGAAGACAAAAATGCATTTAATAATCTTACACGTGACATTCCGTGAATCTGAACCCTCCACTCCCCCAATTTTTTCAAGGCACATGTGCTTCCTCCAGGCCGAAACCCCAAAAAAACCTTTTAAAATCTCAATGTGTGCACTCTCTCCCCCCAGGATGCATTTGTCGTCCTCCCAGATTCCCATATAATGTTTCGAGTCATGTAAAACATTTCCCGAGACCACCGGCGAAGCCATATCCTCCGTGAAAAAATTAAATTGAAGTTTTTTTCCATCGATCTATTTTCACATTAAAAATTATTGAAGTAATATCGAAGAGGAGCTCATGGGTATTAATTTTTTTTGTGTACTTGGATAAATGCCATTTAATGAACGCATTAAATTGTAGAGAAACCCAAAGTGTCTGATTGTATTTTGACATTTTTAAAAGATTTTTACAGTCCATAAATTATGTTTGTATTCCTATCTCTGAATTCAAGTCTCAACTCAAGACTTGAAAGTCTCACCTCAAGACTTCAATGTTTTAATTTTGAGACTTTAAAAAATCCCAGCTCGAGACTTTGTAGTTTAACTTTGAGACTTTAAAGTCTCAGAGACTTTAAAGTCTCGAAATTATACTAAACTTAAGTCACTTAAGTCTCTAAATTACGAATGTTTGTATTCCTATCTCTGAATTCAAGTCTCAACTCAAGACTTGACAGTTCCAATTTGAGACTTTAAAGTCTGAGCTCAAGACTTTAAAGTCCAAATTTAACATTTTAAAGTTTCAACTCAAGACTTGAAAGTCTCAACTCAAGACTTCAAAGTCTCAAACTTCAAAATTCCCAACTTGGGACTTTAAAGCATTAACTTTGAGACTTTAAAGTCTCTTTAAAGACTTTCAAATCTTCACTCAAGTTTTTCAAAAACTTGATTTAATTTTTTTTTAAATCTCTCCAAGACCTTTAAAATCTTAGAACAAGTCTCATTTTTTTCGCAGTTCATTAAAACCTCAATTTTTCCCCTTCATTTCCTCCAATATTTAATTATTATTCACTCAATAACAATTAATCTTGGCCTGCACAATCGACCAAATAATTAAAACCAAAAAACCTCTAATGAAAAAAATCAAATGTTCCAGGAAGCTGCTTCGTGGGCCAACAAAATTCCCGTTCCCTCCTGCTCCTGGTGCTCACCCCCCAGTTACTCTACCTATCAATCGGTTCAGCATTCCTCCTCTCAGGACTGGCGAGCCTCCTCCTCCCTCGCCCCCCAGTGAGTCCACCGGCCCCCTCAGCCGTCCACACGAATCCCCTGATGAGACAACGAGAGGCGAAATCCCCGGCGGAGGTGCATCGCAGGCAGAAGTCCCTCCTCACACGACTCGGAATATTCTCCTGCATCTATGCAGTCGTGATGATGTGCACGACCAGTGTAATTCTTTACGAATGGTGGGGACGTGACTCGTGGCTGAGGGCACCAGAGCCCTCCAGCACTCCCCGAATGCCATCTCGACCGCAGCTGCAATTTTTCATTCTCAAGATCATTGTTTCGTTGAGCGGTGGGGCGGCCGCTGCTGCCTGGATCTGGTGGCCAAGTCTCCTCAGTATCTGGCGGAAAATGCCACCCTGGAAGCAACCACCGCACAAATGCCATTCCCATGCTGTACCTGTTATGCATTGCTACAGTCCAACATCAACTAGCTCCGCGAATCATCAGATTCATCATTTGAGCCATCTGGCACCTCCCCAGCATCATCTGCTTCATCAGCATGCGGTCAGTGTCGGGGGGATGCCTCACAGGGGGCACAAGAAGTACAGAAAGCACAGGAAATATCACAGTGGCAGCGAAACCCAAGTCTGACTCGATGGGACACGTATGGACGAGTCGTAGGAGCCAATCCTCGATATCTCGGGATCCAACGAAGCGATTTGCATCTGTCGGTGCTCGTTTTGAAGACTGAAAAATTATCTTCAAAATGAAAAAAAAATCGGCAATTTTCACTCTGCCGATCTCGAGCTATTGACGATTGAAATTGTGCATTTTATCTGGGCTCTCAATTTCATTAGAATTTCGAACATTTTTTGTTTAGATATTGACTCAGTTCGAAAATTTCACTGAAATTTCAATGGAATATTGTTTGAAAAATAGACACTTGAGTAGGACTTCTCCATACGTGTGAGGATGAATCTAAAGAATATCGACTATTTATTTCAAGAAAAGGGAAAACCGTTTTGATGTTAAACATCAGGTTCACTAAATTGTAAATAATTATTAAGACTCCCTTCATTATCATTATCTGCATAAGATGTTGACTGCCTTCACCGTCTACTTAATTATTTAAGAGTTATTCGAGGATGTACATACCCATTTTATCACTGAGACAAGAAGAAAAAGATGATTTATAGTGCAAAATGTTTCGTTTTTTGATGGTTCGAGGGCTGAAATTGTTCTTTCAATGTTTTGTTTTTCTGTTGAATTCCGTAAATTTTGTTCTTTGTGAGACTCTATTGACGATAGAGGTAATTATAGTTCCATAAGTACTTGAAAACTGCCGAGAATTTAATTTAGTTATTACTGTAATTAATAACAACGTGCAGGCAGTTCCAGGAAAGAACGTCTTTGTGATAAAAATCTCATTTACTGTAGACCATAACTGCTAGATACGCATTAATGATTTTAAATCATTCACTGATTATAAAGACTTCTGTATCATAACGATTTAATGAACAATTTTATAAAATTATCAATAATTAAACTGATTATTTACATGATGCATCACGATTACAGTATTTACAATTCAATTGAAATGAATGAGAATTAATTGATAATTTAATTCTCACTGATGAATTAATAAATTTATGGAGATGAATAATGCAAGGAGATAACGATCAACGCTGAACACATGGGGTTCTCTTTATTTCAATAATAAATTGGAGCTTACGGTGGAGATCAGTGAACTGAAGGGGAGAGATTTCTTCGTGTTTAACACAATGAGTGCATTCACATCACATACGAGTCAGATTCACGAGTATCCGAGACGTTTTTTACACTCACTTATCGTTTTTTTTTCTGCATCACTCAAGTCTGTGATTGACATGACTTTTGGCTTTTTGTTGTCTAGGGAGAGTTCAATTTCGACGAGGGCGTCCAGATTTTTTAGTCTTGCGTCTGCAGTTCTAAATGTCTAAAACAATAAATTGCACTGAGTTAAGAATATATTGGGAGTTCAACTCCGTTTTTTTTATGTCTAATGCAATTTAATTGATGAAATTAATTGTAATTTTTTGCAATCAATGCTTATTTTGAGACTTATGATCTCTATTTGAGACTTAAAAGTGTTAGTTTCAGACTGAAACGTCTCAACTTGATACTTTAAAGTTTGAATTTCATACTTTCAAACGTTTTAAATTTAGACTTCAAAATATTATTTCAAGACTTTAAAGTCCCAACTTGGGACTTTAAAGTTTTATCTCAAGACGTTTAAGGCCCAACTTTAGGCTTTAAAGTCACATCTCGAGACTTTAAAGTCTCAGCTCAGAACTTGAAAGTCCCAACTTGAGGCTTTCAAGTCTCAACTTTGAGGCATTAAAGTTTCAATTTGACAATTTTAAATGTCTTAAGTTTAGACTTTAAAAATTCCAACTTGAGACTTTAAAGTTTTAGCTGAAGACGTTTAAGGCCCAACTTTAGGCTTTAAAGTCACATCTTGAGACTTTAAAGTCTCAGCTCAGGACTTGAAAGTCCCAACTTGAGGCTTTCAAGTCTCAACTTTGAGGCATTAAAGTTTTAATTTGACAATTTTAAATGTCTTAAGTTTAGACTTAAAAAATTCCAACTTGAGACTTTAAAGTTTTAGCTAAAGACTTTTAAGGCCCGACTTTGGGCTTCAAAGTCCCATCTTGAGACTTTAAAGTCTCAGCTCAGGACTTGAAAGTCCCAACTTGAGGCTTTCAAGTCTCAACTTTGAGGCATTAAAGTTTTAATTTGACAATTTTAAATGTCTTAAGTTTAGACTTAAAAAATTCCAACTTGAGACTTTAAAGTTTTAGCTAAAGACTTTTAAGGCCCGACTTTGGGCTTCAAAGTCCCATCTTGAGACTTTAAAGTCTCAGCTCAGGACTTGAAAGTCCCAACTTGAGGCTTTCAAGTCTCAACTTTGAGGCATTAAAGTTTTAATTTGACAATTTTAAATGTCTTAAGTTTAGACTTAAAAAATTCCAACTTGAGACTTTAAAGTTTTAGCTAAAGACTTTTAAGGCCCGACTTTGGGCTTCAAAGTCCCATCTTGAGACTTTAAAGTCTCAGCTCAGGACTTGAAAGTCCCAACTTGAGGCTTTCAAGTCTCAACTTTGAGGCATTAAAGTTTCAATTTGGCACTTTTAAATGTCTTAAGTTTAGACTTTAAAAATTCCAACTTGAGACTTTAAAGTTTCAAATTAGACTTTAAAAAGTCCCACTTGAGGCTTTAAAGTCTCAACTTTGAGGCATTAAACTTTCAATTTGACACTTTTAAACGTCTTAAGTTTAAACTTAAAAAAAATCCAACTTGAGACTTTAAAGTGTCCACTTAAGACTTCAAACTTTCAATTTTGAAACTTTGAAAGTCCCAACTCAAGACTTTGAAGCATTAACTTTGAGACTTTGAAGTCTGAAAGGAAAAAACCTTTTCAAGACTTTCAAATCTTCAACCACGTTTTTTTTTTAAATTGAATTAATTTTTTCGAAAAAAATTTCTGTCCAAGCCCTTTGAAATCTTGAAACGTCTCATTTTTTTCACGTCATATTAAAAATTTAATTTGATTTCATTATTTTCATTACCCCAATTAAATAATTATCCTACCTGTCTCAATTTCTGCTCCATCTCAGGATTATTCTTCTTCTGCTTCTTCTGCACAGCGAATTCAGCAACAGTAAAACCAAGTTCCTTCTCCAAAACACGAGAAGAAAACTCAACATCCAGGCTGTCAGTGCCATCAGTCAACGTTCCCTCAAGCATCCAGCTCCCATCGCCCTTCCCCAATTTCCCAAGGTACTTCGTCCTTCCCCAGATCTTCTTACGAACCACCCCTTCAGTCAGGGATAATCGTTTTACTTCGCAGATGAAGTCACATATCTTGGGACGTTCGACAGTCTTTGGCTTTGGCTGCTCAGTCTTTCTGAAGAAATCCATAATTCCTCTTGCGTTCTGACTGGGCTTTGCGCTGTTTTTACTGCAGAGGAGTTTTGATCCTGATGGAAGCGAGTCCGAGAGCCTCTTCTGAGCTGCTGATGTCACCTTCGAAGTTGAAGGGGATCTCGATCCCCCTGGGGGTCTCTGAGCACTTGTTTTCGTCACTTCTAAAGGTTTCACGGTTTTGTCGACACCAGACGTCCCACATGTTCTGAAAAATGCTGAAAGAGAGTTCGCATTCACTGGTTTCACCACCTCAGGATGATTTTTAGTCGCTATTGTTGGGGATTGAATTGTTTTTAGGGCCTCAGCTTCTAGTTCGAAATCGTCCCAGTCTAGGTTTCCAAAATCCTCTAGATTTTCATCAGTCTGTTCATTTTGTTTTGACTTTCTGGCGTTTGATGGAGGATTTTTTGATGGTGATGGCTTTACTTGATCTGATTCTTCATCAGAAATGATGATTAAATCATCATTTTTTGATTTTGGAACTGTATGAACTGGCGATTTCACGGGATTACGACTGGCACTCTCATGCTGACGATCTTTTGATTGTCTTGAGATGCTCTCGAGATCGTTCTCGTCGATCAGGTCGAAGAGGAGATCGTCGTCGGGGAAGTCCATGTCCTCCATTCCTGCTTCTGGCTCTGCTTGGAAACAGACGGGGAGAGCTGCAGGTTTAGGCCTGTCCACTGGTATCATCAGGTTTTTGGTGGGGTTTAGGGAGGAATTGGATTTTTGGGGTCTTGGGGGCTTGGGATTGGGTCGGGGCACTCGATTCCTGGGGATTTCTGATTCCAATTGGGTTATTTCGTCAAAGTCTACGTCGAAATCTTCGTCGAACAGGGCTGCTGCCTCGTCTGACTGCTGTTTTGTGTCGTTGTAGGGGTCTGGATTCTCCGGCATGTTCCTGAGAGGTTTTTAGAATATTAGGAGTCATGTCAATGGACGGGGAGAGGGTGACATTCTTTTTAATTGGCGATAACGAGAGATCGGCTGAGTGAAATCGAACGACTTTTTTTTCATTTTGAAGGGAATTTTTCAGGCTTTGAAATGAGTTTTGAGTCGTTCGAATCGCATCGTTTGGTCAGGAGATATTGATGATTAAAGGAACTTAAGTTTCCTTTGCCTTCTCGATTTACTCATTCCATTTTTATGAACTTCTCTGAAAGAAGACTTGGAATTGAAAAAATGAGGACAAATTCTTGAGAAACTATTTTATAGCTGCTGAAATTCTTAATGAAAAATATGAATGAAAAAAAATTTCATCAACTCCTTTAGATTAAAAAATATTTATCAAAAAATCGGAATTCAGAATTTAAAATACTTTTTTAAATCTTCGATAGCTCGAGATCGACAGGGTGAAATTGGATAACTTTTTTTTTCATTTTGAAGCTTAAAGAAATATCTTTAAAATGACACTCGATTCATCAAAATCGCATCATTTGATTAGGAGATATCGAGGATTAAAGAAGCTTGATTTTTCTCCACCTTTTCCTCGATTTATCCATTCAATTTCTAATGAATATTTCTCACAAAAGTAACTCACAAGGCCCGTGCGAAAATGTTTTCCGTAGCATTGGAGATCAATAAATGCTCAACTTCACCCCCGACCTCCATTATACTCGACTCATCCAGCAGAATGACTCCTCTCCTGCAGGCAACAGGTCCTTTTATCATGATTTTGAAGCCTGGGAGGATGATGTCCTTCAGGAATCTGATCGGCTGGTACTCGATCGCTGACACGTCCTGAATGCCATCAGTCAGAAACAACTGCATCATTCTTTTGCTCTTTACTTCCCAGGCCTGTGTCTGCTCTGCATCTGTCACTGATATATTTTCGTTCGACACCTTTCGCATTGCTTCTAGTTGCTTGTATTTTGGGGTTGATATGTCGTAGCCTTTTTCCACCTGAAAATGTTGTAAAATTGAATATTCAAAGGGAAAAAACTAAATTAAAGAAGTTAATTTTTACTATTGGTCAGTTTTCAACGAATATCTCGAAATCCAAGGGAGATAGCAGAATTTTTGTCATAACCTTTTTTGTAGCTCTCAATTTTCTCTACAAAAAAGGCCTCCACCAAAATTTTGCTATCTCCCGTGTATTCGAAGATATTCCCAATTTTCAATTTGACATTTTCAAACGTCTCAAGTTGAGGCTTTATAATCTTCAATTAAACTTTAAAAAAAAGGTAAATTAAGTTTTTCGAAAAATCTATTGTTGAAATCGTTGAAATGTTGAAAACATTGGGCGAATGAAACCTGAATAGACAAAACAAACAATTAAACAATTTAAATGGAGAAAAATGAATAAAAAATATTTTAATGAAAAAAATTTAACGAAAACATTTTTAATGATTTGTTTGGGTTCATTTTTGTTGTTCGTTTCAGTCATTCATTGATTTGCTAGGAATTGTGAGGAGATTTCACCTGGAGAATGTATTTTCCTGTCAACATTGTGGATTTTTGTTGAGCAAGATTGTTTGGTAAACATCCCTTCTCGTTGCTGATCTCACGTAGATCGCTCAGCTGCCATTGGGCTGTGACGAAGGTCAGTGTCTCATCATCAGTTGCCTAAAGAGCACGTTGAATTAATTATTAACACCATTATTCATTCGTATTCCCCAAATTACTTTACTAATCCTCATTTATTCCACGATGACGTAAAAATGTTCCTTTAAAATCATCGATATCTCCCGAACCAGCGATGCGATTTCCACGAATTAAATTTCACTTGAAAGCCCTTGAAAGAAGCTTGAAAACGAAACAAAAAAGTGGGAAATTCACTCTGCCGATCTCGAGAAATTGCCGATCAAAACCTCTCTCTTTCACCCCAATCTCTCAATCTTTTCAATTCTTTTTTTTTGCAACAAATAAATTCTCAAGTTTGTATCGATGAGAATATTTGCAATGTTTACGTCGCCATAACCTACATTTGGATTCTCCGTCAGGTAGTAATCCAGACAATCGTTGAGCCATGTGTCGTTCATGTGGTAAAATTTACTGCATAATTGTCCCTTTATCCTCCCCATACGCTCCTCCATTTTGTTTATTTATAAAGTATAGTCTTTGTTGCTAAATAATTAGTACAAAAAATCACAATTCGTCGGTTGCAACTCATGAACTCTCAGAGAATCTTCTGACACTACAGTACACACTTTTTGACAAGATTCGACCGGGATATATCGCTAGAGATGGGCGATATGCCTCGATATATCGAACTGTCCGATGATGTATATCGATATATCGATATTTTGCTACCGATATTTTTGACGGCTAATATATCGCTATTCGATATATCAAACAGATATCGAAGTCTAAATTTGTTTCTAATTTTCTAAAATTTCGGAATAGAATAAATGAAATGTTACCAAGAAAAAAGAGAAATATTCTTTTCAATACCGCATGATTTTATTTATTTCAGATTTCATCGGACCCCTTCCCCTCTCATCTGACCCATCGGACTCTCCTCCCTTGACGAGTGTGAGAAATTGATTCATCAAGTTCTTTCTTGAATTATTTTTTCAAACGAATAGTCTCTCGTTTCGAAATAATTCGATTTTTGAAGAATTTCGTATATAAATCATTTTTAAAATTACTGTAATTTTCTAGAGACGTAAATTGACGAATTCAATTTTTTTTTAATTTTTCCGCTCAGTCATAACAAAAACGACATTCTGCGGCGTTTCATCTGACATCTTTTGCATCTTTTGCATTGTCGTCAGCCCTTCGGGTCGTAAAGCAAAAAGTGCGTTAAATTTATGTCACTACTATGGCATGAATAGCCAAGACGATAACAGTAAAATAAGAATTCCAAAGAGAAGAGAAACCATTCGAAAGTAAATTCCTAATTTATTCCACCGAAAACTGCACTTATTTCCAAAAAATGCAGTTATCCACTTGTTTTATATTCAATAGCTATAAACATTGTCGGGTCAGAGACTATTAAAAAAATTTCGGAAGAATATGCAATGAAAATAATTAATAAATTCTGTTTTATGTCACTGATCCCATGCTACGGCCGACATTCATGTTCACGTGACTGTTTGCAGCTAAATATATCGAGAATTACCGTGCTCTCCCAAATTTCTTTCCCGTTCAAGCATCAACGCGTGAAAAACCAACTGATGGTGAATTAACGGAAATTTTATCGAGTTCATCAGAAGTAATACTATATCAATACAAATAATGGTAAACATTAATTTTATTTTATTTCGGTTTCATACTCTTCGGAAGAGGCGAGATGGTGGTGAAATTCAGTGATTTGTTATTCTTGGTGCTTGTTCCGTTTGTATTTGGTGCCCGCAAAAAAATAACTATTGGTAAGCATTCAGTTATCTGTTATTTTCCCGTTAATTTTTCCAATCATCTTTCGATAATGTTATGTCATCTCTAAAAAATTAATTTCTGATAATTCTTGAGAATTCAGAAATATTGCATCGGTCTGGAGTTTTTTTATTACTTTCTAGAACCTTGCATGATTTTCCGAAGCGTTAGTTTCGGGATCAATTGCGAAATTTCTAAAGATTTCTAGAACGTTTTAGGCCTGACAATTTTGGGCCTCATTTCGTGACTGACGGTTTTGCATAATTTGGGCCTGACCATTTTTAACCTGACCATTTTGGGTCTCATTTTGCGACTGATCATTTTTGGACTCAAATTGAGTTTAATCATTTTTGCATAATTTGGGCCCAATAATTTTGGGCCTCATTTTGCGACTGATCATTTTTGGACTCAAATTAAGTTGAATAATTTCTGCATAATTTGGGCCTCATTTTGGGACTGATCATTTTTGGACTCAAATTGAGTTTAATCATTTTTGCATAATTTGGGCCCAATAATTTTGGGCCTTATTTTGCGACTGATCATTTTTGGACTCAAATTAAGTTGAATAATTTCTGCATAATTTGGGCCTAACCATTTTAGGCTTCACCATTTTGGGCCTCATTTTGCGACTGGTTATTTTTGGACTCAAATTAAGTTGAATCATTTCTGCATAATTTGGACCCAACAATTTTGAGCATCATTTCAGGCGGACTCTTCCACGAAGATGACGTGAGTAGAAGGGCATTCACTGCTTCTACACAAAATGTTAACGCAATGCGTCACACTTTAACTGACGAATTAGCGAATATATTTTTCGTGGCAGACACTCCATCATTGAGTGACGATACATTTGAAGTTTCCCAAACGGGTACGTACAATATAAAATTTGATTTTAAATATTGAACAATTTATTCAATGACATCCCTCAGTCTCTAATCGGATAATGTAAATAATTACATCATTGACATAAATTTACAGTTTGTTCTTTGGTCCATGACGGCATTGCTGCTATCATCGGTCCACACGACAAGTCGGCGTCAGCTCATGTTCAAAGTATGTGTGATACAATGGACATGCCGAACATCATTACTCGGTGGGATTCCGATTCACTGAGAATGAAGGCAGTCAATTTATATCCACACGCAACCACTCTCTCCCAGGTAAGTATATAATTCTATAATTTTACGGAAAATTGAAAATTAAGTGAGACAATCTATTCGCAGATATTTCCAGATCTAGTCATGGAATTCAAGTGGAAATCCTTCACTATCATTTACGACAACACAGATGGCTTAATCCGCATGAATAAACTATTAGAGAGATGGGATCCAAAGGGATATCCCGTGACTCTGCGCCACTTGGGAAAGGGGCCTAATTACAGAAGTATTCTCAAGAAAGTCAAGAATTCGGGGGAAAAGAATATCGTCATCGATTGTGCATTCGATATTTTGGAACAAGTCCTCCTCCAGTCACAACAAGTTGGGTTATTGTCAGAAAGGCACAAAATATTGGTCAGCTCATTGGTACGAAAAAAAAAAGAAGTGGGAAATTGTTTTCGTCACAACATAGTGAATAGATTTTTATTAATAAATTAATAATTTGTCCCCACGTTAGCGCCAACATTCTCCCAGTGTTGGCTACCAACATTGGCCCGACGTTGGCAGCCAACACTGACCCAACGTTGGTAGCCAGCGCTGGCCCAACGTTGGCAGCCAACACTGGCCCAACGTTGGCGGCCAACACTGGCCCAACGTTAGCATTTTTTACCTTTCCCGGAACATTGGTTTCAAAATGAATTTTTGCCATAACAGACGATGCAATCAATCTCATGATCGAACAAAAAATCAGGCCAAAATCAGTTATCCTGACATAAAAAATTGAAAATTCCGGATTTGGCAAATACAATGCTTCCACTGTTTTCTAGGATCTACAAGTTTTGGATCTCGAGCCATTCCAGTATTCTGGCGCGAATATCACCGGCATTCGCCTCGTAGATCCACGCGATGATGATTATCAAAATCGCTTCAGTGAAATCCCATATAAAATGGGTATCGAGGATCTCTCTAAAATGCCACTGCACGCTGCTCTGGTGTACGATGCAGTACAACTATTCGCCAGAGCATTCAAGCAGTTCGAGGATGCCGCAGAGGGACACGTTAAAAGGTTGAAATGCGATGGAATTGACAGCTGGGAGTATGGTAGTACCTTGAGTAATTTCATGCGTTCTGTACGTATTTTCGAACGAACGTTTGGAATACATGGAAAAATTCATTCTAGCTTGGTTTTAATTATTCTATTGTCCACGTGTAGATTGAAATGAGGGGGCTGACAGGCCTTATAAAATTCCACACCAGCGGATTTCGCAGTGATTTCCGCATTGATATCGTGAAATTGAGCGAAATAGGCTTGCACTCCATTGGTACATGGAATAGTACAACTGGGATTGAATGGAAAATGGAATCTAATGATAGAGTTGTCGGGGCTGAGGAGGATTTGGCAAATAAAACTTTCACAATTTTAATTGCATTGGTAAGAGGTGAATAGTGTACGAATTAAATAAAGAACTGTAGGGGAATAATATTTCGAGAATTGCCCTGATCCCCTTCTCGGCCGCCTCATCGGTTTTGTCCTCCGTACGTAAACACAGGTCCACATAATTTTATTCGAAAATAAAACTACAGTGGTTACTCCCTCACCTTTCGTTTCCCTAAAATTTCCGGCGGAGAAGTTGACTTCCCCCACCATCTACAACGTAATTGTATTTGGGTAAATCTGTGTGTCCCTCTGCGCGACGGGACTGCGCGGCAAAATTACTCTCGGCGTGTGAGAGTGAAACAGGTAGATTCTTTCTCTCTGTTTATCTCTTTCCTAGCTCCGCCTCCAACGGAAGAGTAAGGGCTTCCCGAACATTTAATTCCTTGAATTCTGGCCCCCAGAGGGTGAAATGTTAGGGAGTAACCACTGTATTCCATCCCGCTCATTTCTCTGAGAACTTGGGACGGCATTGGTTGAGGAGTGGGGGCCGGTGGAAAGTTGCGAATTTCTTGGAAATGGTACCCCTACAGCCCTTTCGATGAGCAACTAGCGAGAGTCTACTGTAATCGTTGCCAGATTCGTCACATTTTCAATCACAAATAATTGCGTTAGAATGAAAAATCTGAACGGATCCAACTCATGGACATCGTTCATTCCAGCTGGATCCTTATAACATGCTGAAGGAGTCGGCAACAATGAGAACAGGAAACGATCGTTACGAGGGATTCGCCATTGACATTATTCAAGAATTGAGTAAAATGCTTCATTTCAATTACACACTCGTTGAACAAGTTGATAAAGAATATGGAAGACCAGACGATAATGGAAGATGGAGTGGAATGCTTGGAAAAATAATGAGGGAGGTGAGTTTTACCTATTCATGTGATCCGACAACTTTAAGGAACGAAATATATTTCTCCCATTGATTTTTTAAACTGAAACGAATTAGATTCTATAATTTTCCCTCGTGTTTTGCAATTTTTATATCTAGGTTTTTATGAAATGTAGAATTTCATAAAAACTTTGAATTTCCAGGAGGCTGACTTAGCAATCACGGATCTTACTATTACAGCTGAGCGTGAAAAAGCTGTTGATTTTACGATGCCATTCTTGAACCTTGGTGAGGTCAATCGAAATTCTGCAAAAATAATTATATTAGTCGACGATTTCCGTAGATAAAAATGGAAAATAATTATATATTGTCTTTTCAAGAGACAATATCGCAGTATAATTTTCTTTCTTGCAGGTATCAGTATCCTCTTTAGAAAACCAAGTAAAGCGCCACCCAGTTTATTCTCATTTCTGTCTCCATTCGCAGCCGACGTATGGTTGAATCTGATAGGGGCATATATATTCTCATCCTTGCTACTTTTTCTGCTCGGAAGAATGTGCCCTGCAGAATGGAACAACCCCTATCCATGCATTGAAGAGCCTACGGAACTGGAAAATCAATTTACCATAAAAAATTCTTTTTGGTTCACAATCGGAAGTATTATGCAGCAAGGATCTGAAATCGCGCCAATGTCAGTTCCTAAGCTTCTTACAAATATGGAAATATAAAAACTTATCAATATTACGTCACATCATATCACGAAATAGAACGCGATGACTTTTTTCTGGCCATCGCGTTCTATAATTTCTCAGTTCTCAATCCCCAATTCCATTCTATAACGGCCATATCCTCTCTAATATACAGTAGTTACTCCCTAACATTTCAGTCGAAGAAGTTGACTTCCCCCACCATCGACAACGCAAATGCGTTTGGGTAAATCTGTGTGTCCCTCTGCGCGACGGGACTGCGCAGTAAAATTACTCTCGGCGTGTGGGAGTGAAACAGGTAGATTCTTTCTCTCTGTTTATCTCTCTCCTAGCTCCGCCTCCAACGGAAGAGTAAGGGCTTCCCGAACATTTAATTCCTTGAATTCTGGCCCCAGAGGCTGAAATGCTAGGGAGTTGTTACTGTATAAACGCAAGTGCCTCAATCCCCAATTGCATGATCCAGTGGAACTTCCAGAATAGATCGAAATGTTGGCTTCCTTACGGTCGAAAATCATTTTTTTATTCAGTCCCTTCTCCAGTGGCCGCGAGGCCGATTAACATTTATTTAATTAAACTAAATCGGTAGACAAAAACTACTATTTAATTATATAGATATTTTTTTTGGCAGTGGTACTTCAACAAGAATGCTCGCAATTGCATGGTGGTTTTTCTCTCTAATTATTGCCAACTCGTACACTGCCAACCTCGCGGCTTTTCTCGTGGTGGAGACCAACGTCAGGCCTATAAAGTCTGCAGAGGACCTTGCAAATCTTAATGGCTACATAAAATATGGAGCCAAGATAAATGGCGCTACGTATAATTTTTTCAAGGTAATTTCATAACACTGAAGAACAAAAACATTGAAGATGAAGAACAAAAAATTATTTATGAAATTATTCAGCCCTGCTCACTTGACACAATATTAGAATAAAATTCTAAATTATAATGGGGTAAAAGCAATGTCAAAAAGTTCTTCTATCCTTTCCAAGGGCTCGAATCATTCAACTTATGCAAAGATGTACCATTACATGAGGGACAATGAAAACGACGTTATGATGACTGATAATGACAAAGGCAGCGAACGTGTAGAGAAAGAAGATGGTAAATATGCTTTCCTCATGGAATCTAGTTCGATTGCATACATATCCCAGAGACAGTGCAATCTGACACAAATTGGAGATCCGTTGGATAGCAAGGGATATGGCATAGCAATGCGGAAAGGCGAGTATACGCTTCGTACCCCCTGTACTGTTAATTCATTCATTCATTCATTTTGCAATTGTCGAATTTTTCGCAGGTTTCATTTATCGGGATAAATTGAATACAGCTGTACTGCAAATGCAGGAAAGTGGGTTGTTAGCGCAATTAAAGGATAAGTGGTGGAAAGAAAAGAGGGGCGGAGGGAAATGTACTGTGAGTAATTCACATTTTTTGTGACACGTTTATGATCCGCGAAAATTCCCAAATGAAAAGAAAACTGAAGACAATTTTTCCAGCGGCAAAATTTTGTATCGTTGATGTCTATTCTGCCGACAATTTATCCTTGGGGTACATTATATCCGTCGAGAAATTGTCCGATATTTCATCTCTTTACAGAGAAATTTGTCAACCGATAAAATGTCGTCGATTATTCGGAACCGAATTTTTTAATGTATCTACTGTATGCTAATTTTTTTTAAATACTTTCCAGGCGGAATCCAGTTCCAGTGCGCCGGCGGAATTGACATTGGACAATGTTGGTGGTGTGTTTTTGGTTTTGGTTGTCGGAATTGCGGTATCATTCGTTCTTTCTGTATTGGAGATGTTATATGACGTAGTGTGCACATCATTACGCGAGAAAGTCCCATTCAAACAGGAGTTCACAGAGGAACTGAAATTCATTATGAAATTCAAAGGAACTGTTAAGCCAGTCCGACGTAGAAAGTCGTCATCTCACTCTACAAGAGAAACAAGTACGCGAGGAAGTACTCCTCCGTACAATATCATGCCTTCGGTTATCATGACCACGCATGGAGAAAATGATTCATAAATATCTCATTTAGATCATTATTAGTCATTCACCTGAAGCTTATGTAAAATTTGTGGACGAGAAATAAATTGATGAGTAAAAAATTACGGGTCGAACCAATAGCTTCCTAATTCCATTTTTTCTTTTTATCAGACAAAAAACACAAATCCTGATAACACGACTGTCTTCACAAACTAATAATTTATAAATTTCACGAGGACGCGGATCAAATGGAAGAAATAAAATTCGAACCGGTCATTCCTTCAAGAGATATCGTTCGACAAAATTTCGCACACTCCGACAGAAGTAAAGGAAGCAATTCACAACAATTTGCTTGTCTAGGGTCGGGAAATTGATAGAACAAAATATTTAGCAGACTCAACAATAATACAGTAGACACAAGTACCCTAGCCTTTTTCCGAAGGCAGATCACGAGGCTCTAAAATCAAATGAAGCGGGAGAACGTATATAGAACGCTGGAAACTCCCAACATCCCAAGATCAATATAGGGGTGGTAACGGTGGAAGGGGATGATGTGAAACAAAGGATACGAGCAGGATAGTGAGGTGGAGAGAGATACCATCCGCCAGAGGGAGCACGACTGGTAGAGCTCCAAACAGCCCCCGAAAAAGGCTTTAGAAAAGGAGAAACCCATTGTTAACGTACTAGTGGCTAATTTTTTTTTATTCGATAGATATTGAGACGCAGATCAAATTTTCCTAATGGTTTTTTGCATTTCGAGTGGGGCGCATATAAGAAAAACATTAAAAAAGCCTTGGGAAAGGCCTTTGTCCCGATTTGTGAGGAAATGGTCTACTTTTTTCAATTTTTTATGAAATTCTTTTTTAAATATCTCAATGAGTTATTCGTTTTTTGTCTTCTGCGTTTTTTCCATTCATCACATCCTGAGCTTGTAATTTCAATTAGTTTATTAATGTTATAAAAAAATGAAACTACTAGTGGCTGTTTTTTTTACTGATCGATAGCTTTCATTATTTAAATGAAATTGTGTAAATAGTTTTCATGTTTTTGGATGACGTATTCATAAAAAAATAATAATATAGTGCGATCCTTCTGTGATAAGTGTGGCGCGTCAGTAGCGCTTCAGGTCGGAGCTAAACTTCAAATACGGTTGCGAAGAGGGGATGCTGAGCGAGAGCCGAGAGGGTGGTGTCGGAGTTCTATTGCGTCGAAGCGAGACTAGCCACGAGCCCTGATTAATAATCGGTCCAGTTCGCTTTCCTGAAACGAAAAATTTCTATCGGGATAAGCATGGCTGTCACTTTTCCGTACCAAAATCTAGGATTTCGCGGCTTTTCTTTCTGATTTGTTGCTTCATATGTGCCGACAAGATGGGCAACACTGCGTTATGTACAATTTTTCAAAATGGATATATGGAAGATTCAATGACTGATGAATTTGTCGTCATGCATTCCAATTTTATACGTTATTAAAACAAAATTCGTTTAATAATGAGAGTGTTCACCGTTTCCGTAAGGAATGAATAAGTGAGGGTGATCAGGCGTTGACATGGAATGTGTGAATTATACCGACTACTGAAGAAGGATTAATTGTAATGTTTGTAGTGTCGGATCATGCGATAAACCATGACGGAGTTATTATCATGAGAAGTCTGAATCTACAGACATTTGGTGTCACCATGTGATTGATAAATAAAAATTGGCGAAGACACTCCGTATGAAGATGACTATTCCAGAATATATCTTGTGTGAATTTGGTAGCAGCGATGAAAATGAAATACTAAATTCCACGGATACTGACAACAACTCGGCCGAAAAATCAGACGGAAGAAAAAAATTCTTTTTCAACTCTCAACTCTATTGTAATAATCCAACCACTTTCGACCTAATATTTCTAGTTGTACATCAGTGATTTATTGGAGGCAAACGTAAACGAATACATCGGTATCAATTACTTCAACGTGATATTTCGACATGTATATCGTCGCAAAAATTTTCTTCTTGCTGACCATTACTCATATCCATGCTCTTCCTGATATAATCAGGATAGGTGAGTAATCAGTACTTTTTTCTAGCTCTCCCATGTATTCCGAAGTGATATTCTTTTCAATAATTAGAAAAAGATCCTACAGTGAAAAGTTGTTAGGGATGAATTCCTGGGTTCTGCTATTTGGAGATAAATCTTCCTACAGTGGGTAGATACTGGAATCCGGTATTTTACTTGACCGGAAAAGAGGTGTTTATTTATTTAAACTAACTCATAATTCAGACGGGATAATTACGTAGAAATTACGAAGATGATACAAAATAAGTATTAAGCCTGATTTACGTTGACGATTGAACTCCCGAATATTCGTGAGTCCAGCTTATGTAGTAGTTAAAGCGCGCCACGTTACGACACTGGTAAACAGTGTTGCACATGAACGCTGATTTAGTAAAACAATGAGTAAAGTAAGTTGAACTCAATTCATCTTTCAACTTTTTCACTTTTGTAAATAATTTGTTACTTAATATTACCTCATTATTTTGGGGCATATCAAAGTACTGAAATAGAAAAAACGGAAAAAGCATTAATGTTTTGTAAGGAATGTCCATTTATCAACCTGTCCCGTTAAGTGATATGTGGTATAGAAGATTTTCTAATCTATATTGCATTGCTTTCTTCAATTTCCTCAGGGGGCCTGTTTCATCCACTGGATGATAAACAGGCGGTCGCTTTCCGTTACGCCGTAGAGAAGATCAATGCAATTAGGGATATTCTACCTCGATCGAGACTCAGTGCTCAGATTGAGCAAATTTTACCTCAAGATAGTTTCCATGCATCGAAAAGAGGTATTTATTAGCTAGAGGTAACTCTAAGCTAAACTTTTCATCCTATTTCTTCCGTCATTCTCAGTATGTTACCTGTTGAACACTGGTGTCGCGGCGATTTTTGGCCCACAAAGTGCTCATACAGCGTCCCATGTGCAAAGCATCTGTGATACCATGGAGATACCGCACTTGGAAACGCGCTGGGACTATAGGTTTAGGAGGGAGAGCTGCCTTGTGAACCTGTACCCACATCCCACAACATTGTCTAAAGTAGGGGATAATTAATCCAAATCTTTTCCAAATGTCAATATGTCTCTTAGAATTCGAGAGAATGATTTTTTACTGTTGAAATTTCAGGCGTATGTTGATCTTGTAAAGGCCTGGGGATGGAAAAGCTTTACCATAATTTACGAAAACAACGAGGGATTGGTGAGATTGCAAGAACTTCTGAAGGCGCATGGACCTAGCGACTTTCCGATTGCTGTTCGGCAGCTCAGCGAGGGTGACGATTATCGGTGAATATTCATTCAGTAAAGTGAAAACGTTTGGATCATCGCTCTTATCATCCTCGATATTTCGGGTTTGTTTATAGGCCATTACTGAAACAAATAAAGAATTCAGCAGAATCACATATCGTACTCGATTGTTCAACAGAAAGAATTCATGAAGTTCTTAAGCAAGCGCAACAAATCGGCATGATGAGTGACTATCACAGCTATCTTATCACCTCATTGGTAAAGTAGACTGTTACAGTAAAGTTAATATGATTTTCTGTAATTTTACGAACAATTCTGGACTTATTTCGGAATTTGAGAAATTGGACGTTTTACTTTTTTTTGCAGAATTTATTCATTTTCACCTTTTTTGGTATGGACCTTTGATAATCATAATTTTTTTAGCTTACTTTCACTCGCAACTCAGTAATTTGAGAAGTTAATTCGCTCGTGAAAAGCATCAACTCTCGAACCCGAAAAATATACTGGCGACTCGGGATTCATTTCTCCTCACGTGCCAGCCATAATCTATCAACTATTTTCATTTCATTATTTTTTTTATTTTCTGCGGATAATGACATCGTTGAGGTGTCCCCTATGCCTCAAAATTCTGTTTATGAGTTTCCCTTCACCAATAAATTCTCCAAAACCGACACATCAGAACGATTACTTTCCCTTTTTTTTCAACATTCTACTAATGCAAGAATGACTTTCTCGAATTTAAAGTTCCATGGTCAATAAATTTGCTTGTTATCGTCCTCTTGCAGGACCTCCACAGTGTCGATCTCGAAGAATTTAAATACGGAGGAACAAATATCACTGCCTTCCGATTACTAGATCCCGAAAAACCGGAAATACAGAACACTGTCCAAGAATGGATCTATGGTGAACAGAGATACGGCCGGCAATTGCAGTTGGGCCAAGGAATTAATAAGGTTATTAATTTATTCATTCATACAAAAAATACAGAAAGATATTTTTCTACATATAAAAAATGTAGAAAAATATATTTCTTAAAACTCACTGACAATGAGTATTTTTCATCCTCTATATTTCTTCCTATCATGCAACAATTGGATGTAGAACAATATCACTACTCTCAAGGTAGGTGAAGAGCTCTGAGTTTTCTCTGAGCATTATTGATACCCCAGTGGGACAAATCGGATAAATCAACATTAAATTTCAGACTGAAGTAGCTTTGATGTACGACGCTGTGCACCTGTTTGCCGAGGCCCTTCACGTATTGGATACATCACAGCAAATAGATATTAAACAACTGTCCTGTGAATCTGCCGATACATGGTCACACGGTTATTCACTCATCAATTACATGAAAATCGTGGGTTGAATAGTTTTTCCATGGCAATAATCATATCAGTTTGATAGGATTTCTATGAAATTCTTTGCAGGTGGAAATGACGGGGTTAACAGGCCTGATAAAATTCGATCATCAGGGATTTCGATCGGATTTCATGCTCGATATAATTGAATTGAATAGCAAAGAGGGATTGAAGAAAATTGGCACATGGAATAGCACGGAAGGAGTGAATTTCACTCGTACTTTTGGCGACGTTTATACCCAAATTGTTGAAAGCCTGCAAAATAAAACTTTCATTGTCACGACGATCCTGGTAAATAATCTTACAGCCACTACTATTAATTCGCACAAAAACAAATGTTTAGAAAATATTTTGCGTCTGCAGAGTGCACCGTACTGTATGCTAAAAGATTCAAGCGAAAAACTACAAGGGAACGCACAGTATGAGGGATACAGCATCGATCTCATTCACGAAGTCTCGAAAATATTGGGGTTTAACTATACTTTTCGCCTTGTGCCAGATAAAAAATATGGCTCTTATAACAAGGAAACTAAGGAATGGGACGGCATGATAAAGGAACTATTGGACCAAAAAGCCGATCTTGCTATTGCCGATCTCACTATCACATACGATCGTGAACAAGCCGTCGATTTTACGATGCCGTTCATGAACCTCGGTAATATGAGTGACGTAGAAAATCAAAATTAGATGAATTCCAACCGCTCTAATTATCATTAATACATCTCCCCCTCGACTGGGTCTGAAAAACCTTCATTTTTCCAATCGTCAACGTTTCGAGAATTAAATTTTCTCCTCATCAGGGTCCCATTTTATTACCCCTCTTCGATATCTGTCTTTGGACGAAACTGCATGAAATGGTAGTGGTAAAACGGTTTAAGTCGACTTATCTCCCAGTTGAGATTTCGAGGAATATTTCGTAATCTAAGGGAGATAGCGAAATTTTCGTAATTACATTTGTTGTAGCTCTCAACCAGCTCTACAAAAAAGGTTATAACAAAAATTTTGCTATCTCCTTTAGATTCCGAGATATTGATCGAAAACTGGTCAATAGTCATCTCTTAGTCATTAAAAATGGAATAAATAATTATATTAACATTGCTGATATTGACCGCCTAATGGCCCAGTGGAGATGTATTAATGATGCAAAAAATCATTATAATTATGATCCAACTGTTGAAAATTATGTTGATTGTCTCCACCCTTATTTTTTCGTTTGCAATTTTTTAGGAATAAGTATACTATACCGAAAACCCATCAAGAAGCCCCCAAATCTTTTTTCATTTCTGAGCCCACTGAGTCTCGATGTGTGGATTTACATGGTGACTGCTTATCTTGGCGTCTCCATTCTCCTTTTCATCCTAGCTAGGTAAGTGCGACATTGCCATAGAATAACGAAAAACCGATAGTTTCCTGTAACAGGAGATTTTCTCCTGAAAAAAAAAACAACATAAGAGAAACAAGCTATTGCATTCAGATTCACACCTTACGAGTGGTATAAGCCCCGACGGTGCGGCAGAAATTGCACACATATAGAAAATCGTTTCAAGTTAATCAACTGTCTGTGGTTCACCATTGGCTCTTTAATGCGCCAGGGTAGCGACATTTTACCCAAGTAAGCTAATAAAAGTGGAAATATGTATGATAATTATATGAATGGCTGTCTGTGAGCTTCGCCATATGTTATACAATTACAGAATTAGATGTCAATTAGTGGTAGCTACAGTCGAGTTCCTAAGGGCCTCAGAGTTGTGATATAATGAGAAAATTGTGAACAAAGGTATAAGATTCAATCAATCTTTTATCTTCGGCTGACGGTCCTCTAGAGTAAACCAAAGGGATAATGCGATGTTTCAAATATCATGGAATATTGTATTCATTGAATTCGTTAAATTAGCGCAAGTCATCCTCTCTCCCTCTCCCAAAGGAGACTCGTAATTCTTCCCTACTATTCATCAACAGAAAAATTCTTTCTCAAATTACCACCCTCGACATCCGATTAGACAATCGAAGAAAAGAAAATTTAAAAAATTCTGCCCCCCCCCCTCCCCAGTTGTGAGATTTAATTCCATCTCCCGTTTCCGTTAACATGTCCGCAGGTTCAGTCCATATGAGTGGGAGAATTCCCACACTTGCAGCGCACAATATGAAGCCTGCGAGAACGAGTTCACTCTTCTCAATTCGCTCTGGTTCACCATAGGCTCACTCATGCAGCAAGGCTCTGATATAGCACCGAAGTAAGTTCAAAATACTTATAACTACGAATTGTATTAAGGATGTTCGACACCCTTTTAGCCAAAATTGACGTTGTTTTCATTTTTCTGGCAAATTATCGATGGGAGTGACGTGAAAAAATATAACGATTTTGTGGTTTGTCATTCTTTAATGGCTCACGAAGTTGCGTAGTGGTGCGATAATTTTCATGCGTTTTTTCTACAGTTTTGTCATTCTTTTTAAAAGTTTAGAGAAAACGCAGGAAAGTGTTCGCACCACCTTAAAATTTCGTCAGTCATTAAATAATGACAAAACGCAAAAACGTTATATTTTTTCACGTCAATTCCATCATAAGTTTGCCAGAAAAATTAAAAAAACGCGAATTTTGGCAGAAAGGGTGTAGAACATCCTTAACGAGACAGTTATCTCTCAACATTGCAGATTAAATATTAAAACGAACCGGTAGTTATAATCATTTTCGATGCTATATCGTAGGCGTGCTGCAGTAGCCTACGTTAGTATCGAAGAATTCTTTAGCCGATTATCAATTGTGTTAAATGTCTAATTGTTTTTGCACTCGTTTTATTTATTTGTTCATTATTCACATACGTATCATTGTGGATGTTCACTTGAAGAGGTGACGCCGATCATTTGGAGCTTATATTGTGCATTATCTCTGTTCTCTCTATATTTTTTTTTTATTGCATCTCTATATTGTTACGGAACCGAATGGTTTAATCTATCCACTTTCCCTCTTTTGTAAAATAAAAAGAAAGTTGATTGTCATTCTCTAATGTTTGGGAATAACTTCATGGGTGATCCACTTTTGTTCTGTCAATAAATATGCCCATTCGATTTATCCTGAATTATTTCTCAATTAAATACAACAATATTATGAAAATCCAAATTCCCTTTGGCGAAATTAACACTCCAAAATTAAAGGTCGCAAGGGTCAAAATAAGGGTCACCAGGGTTAAATAAGGTTCGCGAGGGTTATAATGAGGGTCAGATTGAGGGCCAAATAAGGGTGGCAAGGGCCTAATAAGGGTCCTTTCTATATTATAAAAATCTAAATCGGCTTCTGGTGATGAAAATTTGGTGCTCGAAATTAAGATTTCAAAATTAAGGGTCAAAATAAGGGTCGCGAAGGTCAAATAAGGTTCACAAGACTCAGAATAAGAATTGTGGAGGTCACATCGGGATCAGATGGGGGTTGACGAGCGGAGCGAGCCGGGGGCGTAGCCCCCTAGTAGTAAATATTACCAGAATATGAAGATAATGAAAGTATAACAATAATAATAATAATATAAAATAGAATGAGACTGGCAAATTGGGCCCTTTTCATGTGAATGTCCACATTAGTTTATTTTTATTCACTTGTATGACTGAATGCTCGTTTCAATAAAAACTCCTGCATGATTACTTTAATTTCATCCAAGATCATCAGAATGTATCATTCACTGCATGACAAATGTCATTGTGTACTTTGTACGACATAATGTACAGTAATAAAAGTAATCAACCAATCAATCAATCACTCCTCTGGCAATCCCCAATATTATTTATTCACTCCCTCAGAGCAGTGTCAACACGGATGGTTGCCGGTATGTGGTGGTTCTTCACGCTTATCATGATTTCATCATACACAGCCAATCTAGCTGCATTTCTCACTGTTGAAAGAATGGAATCACCGATTGAAAGTGCTGAGGATCTTGCCAAACAGACCAAAATAAAGTATGGGGCATTGGCTGGGGGTAGCACCGCCGCATTTTTTCGGGTGAATAAATTCATTTTTATGTGTTTTTATAAAACGAATTGCCGGAAAAAATCTGTCAATTGTGCTTCAGGATGTCAGAATTCTCTGTTTCCTTTCCTGGTAAATTAGGAAATTTTTATAAAAATGGGTTCCCGGATTTTTTTCCCTGTCAACATCAATTCATCTTTATTTAATGGAACATTTCATTGTTTCCTTGAAGTTGACAATTTTGAATATCATGAATAATTTACACACACCTGTTCGTCAAAATAGGGTTCAACTCTTCAAATCCATCTACAAGAAGACAAAATTACTAACATTACGAGCTAAATTTTTGCCATTAAATTTTTCATTTTTTCTCGTTCAAGAGAAAAACAAGAAATTCAATTAGCATTTTCTGAAGAAAAACTCAAAAAAAAATACCACGTGAAAAAAAATCGTAAGAAAAGTCAGTCTCAAAGGGAAGAATTCGCCGAGAAAGGATTTACGGGGAAAAAAACTCCGGCCGCCAAAATTTAATCCCTGAATGGGGAAACCAGACAGCAGTGATATGCAATTGGAATGATTCCAGGATTCTAATTTCTCGACCTATCAGCGCATGTGGTCCTTCATGAAATCGGCCAAACCAAGTGTATTCACAAAGAGCAACGTGGAAGGTGTAGAGTGGGTTACAAAAGGCAGGGGTACTTATGCCTTCTTGATGGAATCCACATCGATAGAGTACGTAATTGAGAGAAACTGCGAATTGACCCGCGTTGGAACGGAACTTGATTCCAAAGGATATGGAATTGCAATGCCCCCAAGTAAGACGTCAAACATGTTACAGCTTGATGTGCAATTTCCTTTTCAATCTGCCATTACGATTCTGGGGTCAAATACTTCTAATTGATATTTTAGATTCTCCGTACAGAACTGCCATCAGCAGCGCCATTTTAAAACTTCAAGAAGAAGGAAAATTGCACATATTGAAGACGCGGTGGTGGAAGGAGAAACGGGGCGGCGGGAAATGCCGGGTGAGTGGTATTTAATGGAAATAACTTGGGTGGCCCGTTTTATTTTCCTCGATATTTTCCCCCGATTTTTCTTCCTCCCCAAATTTTCCTCGCGTCAATTTTTCCTATGCTACTTTTCCCACGCCACTTTTTCCCTTTCTAATTTTCTGATTCAATTTGTATATTTTGACTCACGGAAAAAAAATATATGCAAATAATTATACGTGACATATATGTGACATATTGCATTTTTCGCCGAAATATATACACGTATCATTGACATTGAACAAATTATACAAATATAATTAAAAAAATGATAATATCTATAGGAAGATAACCAGAAAGCGGGTTCTACCGCTAATGAACTGGGCCTGGCAAATGTCGGTGGCGTTTTCGTAGTACTGATGGGTGGTATGGGAATAGCCTGCGTTATAGCCGTATGTGAATTCGTATGGAAAAGCCGAAAAGTAGCTGTTGAAGAGAGAGTGAGTAGTGCAAAAATAATTCCGAAATGCACGGGGGAAAAATTTACTTTTGCCAAGAAGTCATTTTCTTGGAAAAAGATTTTTTTACGACTGTATTTCTCTAGGCCAGACATTCCCAGATGTTAATGAATTAAACTTCATTAACAATTATTAACATTCTGGATTCGAAATTATTTTTTGTGAGAAAATTTCAAATTTGAAAAAATTGAAAAATAATGGGGGGCTCATAATTCGACATGATTGTAATATTTAAAATGTTTCCTTGGCAAAACTAATTTTTTTCTCAGTGCGGATAGTCCTGCTTCCCAATAATTCAACATTCCACATTAATTCTAGAAACAGAAATCTTCAGGTAAACCAATCTGCGAGGGTTTCACCGATCTTCACTAATTCCCCTGAAGCAGCATGTGCTAGCGGTAGTATCACCAATATTGCCATAAATTTATATGGAAATTCTACGGGCTGAAGGAGAAAAAAAAGACATTATAACTTGTATCCTACAAGATTTTTCCCCTCATCTTTCCAATAAAATCAATGTGGTTTCAAATTTATTATGAACAGGGTAGAATATGCGTTACCAGTAAAATCCAGTCATTGTCATGCTGATAGTCAAATACCAATACATGTTTTATCTGGTTAATTTTACATGTAATCATTTTTATGATTATTAGAACAATTTATGAGGCCAACGTCAACGCATTCATGGACTACTCATATCAAGTTTCAACATTTGTAAGCTAATTATGGAGCCATCAATACACTTGTATATCAAGCCATATTGAAATAATAATAATAATAATAAATATAATAATAGTAAGGAAAATATTTTTCATTGCGAAAATTCCCAAAATTCATCAATGGAATAATTCATCATTTTGCAGCGGTAGGGAATATAAATTTTTTTTAGTCGGTGCAATTTCCCTCTCAACTTGTTCTATGGGTCGTAAACATAATTTTTTTTTTAATGTGGGAATTCGGTAAAGCATAGATGGGTTTTGTAACGTATAACACTCGGAATTAATATATATCGAATTAGATTTATTCACAGCAAACGTAACTGTGGTTTACGCCACGAGAGCTGGAACGAGAGTGAGCTCCCGCGAAAATGATATAAATTATGCGATCGAGGATGTCCGAATTATTACGAATCGTCGCGAGGATGTCCTGCGAGAAGAACAGCGATATATCAGCTGATACGTGTCGCAGTAAGGTATTCGGTTGCTAAGCCAAGCCCGAACGCAATGCATTCAATTAATCTGAAATAAATATATAAGTAGCTTCGATACAAAAATCTTGGTTTTCATTGTTTTCTCTCTCTACGCGAGGAGATTCCCGTTGCCACCGCTAGGTGTGTTGTGACAATCGAGCAGCTAACCAACATACCTGCCACACGTGGTGAAAGAATTCCTCCTTTAGAATAAAAAATTACTTTTCTTACTCTCCTGACATAAAAGCACTTCAGCTGAGTAAAAGAAAAATGTGCAGTTTGATAGACGGTTTTTATGGCGAGGAATTCCTGCACGAGCAGAAAAGCGATATTAGTAATCTGTGAGTACCACAATAAACTGTTATTAAAATTAACTGAAATTAATATTATTATTATAATAATATTTTATTGCATAAAGGATACATTGTCCCATCGTAAAGGGGAAAAATAGTACGTAAGATAAAAGAATATTCTGATAGGTCTGTTCTAGAACTCATTTGTTGTCCATATAATACATCTGTACACATTATAATTGGATTAAGTGTGGAATACAAAGTATTTACAGTAAAAATTCAGCTAGACAATTCAGACATTTAGCATATAAAGGCAAATTTCTTAAAAATGCCTGTTTTTCGTGAAAGTTTGTCTCTCTATATAATAATTTTGTAAATTAAGATAACGCAAAAAATTTCAGGGTTCGTAAGGGTCATAAGGGTCAAAATAAGGCGTTGGGGCCTGATCCCTCAAGTTTAGGGGATGTAAAACATGTTTCTCATTTCTCTCTACATAATTTTTTAATCTAGAATTATGTAACGAAAAATGAGAAATTTAGAGTGGTTGTACCTCGCTAGGAAATGCGTCGGTTGTAGCCTTTCTTGTATGAATATAATAGTTATAAAATATTGACTGTGAACTGTTGGGAGCGTAATATGTTTTCCTTTTTTTCTCATGTGAAGCGAGTCTATTGAGAATGACTACCACTGATATCAGTTATCCAACACCTGTCAAAAACAAGATAGAATTTTTATGCGGTAATGCAAGCCCCTATAGTTATTATCATTCATTATTTATCGACGCGAGGTATTTCCGATCTCTATTTGAACTCAAGGAGATGGGGGGGGGGGAGCGAAGCGAGCGAGGAGGCGTAGCCCGTTCGGGGTTGGCGAGCGAAGCGAGCAGGGGGCGTAGCCGGTTCGGGGTTGGCGAGCGAAGCGAGCAGGGGGCGTAGCCTCGTAGGATTAAAATGAATATGATAAAAACCAAAGTATCGCTACACCCAGTCGTAAACGTACCATTATGAATTAAGACGAAGAAGAAATCACCTATTCGTGCACTCGTATGTCTACACACGAATAAAAACCTAAAATATCATTTTTCCAGAAATGAATTGATGTGTCAGAAATGTAGTGTGGAAAAAGCTGAGGTGAGGCTCAGAAGAAAGGACAATTACTGTAATGGATGTTTCTTGATCAGTGCGACTCATAAATTTCGAGCAACGCTTGGAAAATCGAAAATCGTGAGACCCAGCGATACAATTCTTGTTGGGCACAATGGAGGGGCGGGATCTACAGCTCTTCTTAATTTAATCAAAGGAGGGATGCACGAGTCGGTTCACAAACGTTTGGTTTTCGGAGTTAAAGTTCTTTACATTGATGGTAAATTATTTCCAATTTATTTTTTTGTCACAATTGAAAAATAAAAATGATTAAAATCCCTGGTTTCAGATGGACTCATTAAAGGGCAGAGCACGGAAGAAAGGGAAACTAAAATGCGAAAAATACACGAACAAGTTGAGGCCCTAGGGTTTCAAGCTTACGGTGTATCGCTAAGTGATGCCATGGATTTTGATAATTTTTCAGTCTCATGCCTGAAGAGTATGACTTGCTCGAATGATGAGAAGGATAAGAGACTGTCTGAAATGTGGAATGGACTAGTGGATGAAACTTCAAAAAAAGATTTTCAACAGAAATTACGAAACAAAGTCATGATGATGGCTGCGAAGAGTCTCAAGTGTCAAAAAATTTTTCTTGCTAATGACTCCACTTCCTTGGCAATAAAAATTTTAAGTAATGTCTCGTTAGGGAGAGGTGCTCAGCTGTCGTCGGACTGTGGGTTTATCGATAATAGATATGCGGATGTTGTGATACTGCGACCTATGCGCGATTTCAGTCGTCGGGAGCTTTATTATTATCTGAAAATATGTAATTATAGTTTTATAGGAGAGGAAAAATTAAAAGACAATTTGCCCTTCTCCATCCAAAAACTGACCGGAAAATTTGTTACGAATTTGGAAGATCAGTTCAGTGGAACGGTGTCAACGATTTTCAGGACTGGTGAAAAAATTGTTGTTGGGAAGGGAAATTGCAAAGACAATACTTCAATAGAAGGAGATTGTGTGTTTTGCAATGGTTGCCTAGACACGACTGCTCTTGGTGATTGCACTTCCAGCATTGATGCCACGAATTTTTCAAAAATAGTGTCTTTGAGGAGTTCAGACGCTGAATGGAATCTGGAAAAATTGATGGAGAAACCACGAGACAGTACTGTAGATATGCCAGAACATGGCTGCGAGGATTGTACGTGTGGGCGTAGTAGACTGGAGAAAAATAATATTAAATACGAAGATGTGAGACAATTTTTGTGCTACGCCTGCCAATCAATCTTTCATGGTAATTTTGATCTGAAAACCCTTCCTCCGTTCATGATTAACTCTGTCAGCGAAAGGTTACGCTTGAAAAATATCGCTGCTGAAATTCAAGACTTTTTATTGTGAATTACCCGAACTAATGGAAATAAAATATACATTTAAAAAATATGTAATTTGAAAATATCTTTTTTCAAAGGGATAAAAAGATTTGGATAATCTAGAATCTTCAGCAAAGGTTGTGCAATGAACGGACTCCGGTCTAGAAGAAATTATTTAGTTTGAAAGAATATTTTAACGGAATCGAATGTTTAATTTATTAATTCCCTCCCCTCTTGCTGATATATTTGTTTTTTGTTTCGTTATTCGATTGATTAAAATGTCATTCCAAAGCCGAATGGAGATATTAATCACCACGTGTATTAAAAAACTAAATAAATCGTCCCTTTTCCATAATTCATCACCTATTCATTACAATATAATGTAACATCAAACGATATGCTCCTTTAATTGTTTACTGTTACTTTTATACTTCTCAGAAATAAATGAAAGAGTAAAACATGCAATGAACCAATAACTTAATTATGCATTTCTTTTCTAGTATTATTAAATTTTCATGAACTACCAAATTTTTATTTTCCAAACATTTCTGGTTGTTGACTAACTTCTCTCCGTATTTTCAGTCTGCAAATTTACGTTCAAGATTTTTTGGCAATAGTTTCTCATCTGGAATAATTGGGGATTTTCCCAGTTGATAGTAACTGACAGGCAAAATATGCTGCAGTATCTCGTGTCAACCGAAGCAACATTTTGCAAAGACGAGAATGATTCAAGGTGAATTGCCATTCCACGTGTTTATTTACATGTTTTTGTCTGTTTGTTTGCATAAAATGCGCTGATAATTTGAAAGAAATTAAATAATCAAATTTAAGATGGAAATATTCCTAGGCATAGGCATGGCGGAATAGATTGCTGACAAAAAACGTTACATTCTTTTTTTTAAAGAGAATAACTATTTCTTTGATATTGATAAGCTTTATAAACTTCTAAAATTTCGTGCTGTAATAAAAAAAATTATGATTTAGACATTGTTCTTTGAAATTGATACACTCTGCTGGAAAAGTCGTAGACTCAATGAACCTTCCGCACTGCTGGGAATGGACAATCAAGGATGTTTCAGAGTGGCTCGAAAATGATGTTAAATTACCGCAATACAAAGTTTGTCAAGCAACTAACAATAATAAGAATTATTTTTCTCTTCTGTTGCATTTTCACTGGGTTTATTTTGCTTATTTTGCCTGCTCAGTCTACTATGGAAGTCAATTTTATCAATGGGCGACGTTTGTGTCTTCTCGAAGCCCACAAATTACTCAGAATGGGAATTCACGATTTTTCTCATATTAAGGTAAGTGAAATAATAGCATTGAGGATATCCAAGTGCCTTTTACAGATTCAGACAATTTTAATCATCAAATTTGTCAATTAAATTTGGCATTCAAATAACATTTTGCACTGAATTATTATTTTTTTAACACTCGTTGTTTATAACTAAAACATTGAAATTGTTTAAACTATTGGAAAAAAATTTTTTGAGGCATGAAATCGATTTCTGGTAAAATTTCGAATATGAATAAATTTTTACGGTTCCGAATAAATGGTTTTCATGATGGAAAATTGAGTGTTTATAAATTATTTATAGAAAATGCTCAGAATTTGCAAAAATCGAAATTTTTTAATTATTTCATCAATTTTCCTCCGAACGTAAACTTTCCATTTTTTCCAGATTTAAAAATTGTTTTCTAAGGGTTCAATATCGAGAGTCAAATTCGGACCTGCAAAGTTTAAATAATAAAATTATTCAAAAATGTTGATTACAAATGTATAAAAACGTTGTACTGAAAAAAAAATTGCTAAAGAACTTGGATATCCTTAACACAATGCACACGTTAATCGTTTACAATTTAAACAACAAGAAAAATCCATTGCAGACACTAATGGAGGCCATCCGAAAGTTATTCAACACAGAAAGAGGGAAATTTAGTCGGAGTATAACTCTGCCCATTAAATACCCTATGACTCTGTACCTTGAATATCGTGTTCCCACTGGGCCAATCCGAGAGAGAACAACGCCTACAAATTTCTTCAAAAAATGTTCAATCATAGAAAGTGGGGAAGACTGTCGCTATCGAAACAACTCCAAAAACCGAAACAGTGAATTTCCAATTGTTCGGTTTGGTGCTGTAAAACGAAAAAGTGTCTACACTAGGATTGAGTTCAGTAGACCCACTACAACCCCCAATGTCCATAAAAAATTTATTGACTTTCTTCTTCAATTACATACCTAACAGTAGACCTACCAAAACTCCCATTCAACTTCATATAAATCAATTATGAATATTGGAATCACTTGAGTCGTTAAACTACATAAATTTGGTATGGAGCGAAAAAAAAAGAAAATAAATTGCACATATTGCGTGAAATTTTGAAATTATCAATCGGAGAATAAATCCTCTCCAGACTCGTCATCAGATTTATCGACACGAAAAATTTTCTTGTCGTTTGTTTCTTGAGAGGGTGATTGGGAAAATTTGAGAACGAATGATTCGTCACTATCATTATTCGATGCATTGAATGCTTCTGACTGTTGGCCATTGCTTTCACATGTCTTCTCCTTTTTTAAACTCGTAGGTTGATTTAGTTTAATGGGTAAATCTCCAAGATCCCGCGATATCGAATGAGACTTGTGAGTATTTTCACATTCAGTCTCACTCTCATCTGTAGATTGGTCGTAGACGACCGAAGGACCCTCCAATTTCGCCTTCAATTCTTTATTCTTCTTCTTCTTGCTATTCAACAAGACGATAAATTTCTTGTACAATTCTTCTTCCATATGATTTTTTAAATCTATCATATGATTCAACGTTCTCTCCAATTCCTCCGATTTAATTCGTAACGCGTTGTTTTCCACTCTCAAATCTGATGTGCTCTTTTCCATATTTGAACAGCACGTTATGACATTCATCATTGAGCCGGAAAACTCAATAATATCATTTATAGCTTGACATTCTATTAGTCCACGTTTCCACGCTTTTTTCTTCCACTGAAATGTGCTACCTCTCACGGAAAATTCAGCTCCTTCGTCTTCTCCCCCCAATTCTCTCTTTATTTCGTCTAAATATTCTTCTTCTGTTCTGTTAAAGTCTTTCGCCGGCGCCAGCAGATTTCTCATACATACCTGCCAATTTTTTCAATGAGTATTCGGGAAGATTACGATTCTCTGGCGCCGCTATTTGACATATTTTCCGTACCTTTTTTTCAGGAATACGGGAAAAAAATTCCCTCAATTGGTTTTTGGGATATAAGCATTTCAATCCTTATTTTTTAAGATACGAACATTTCCATAAGACGTCGTATAGGTACTTGACATACCAATTCATGCATTCACATTCCCACATTTGAATTCAATGATTATATTGACAACAGCAGAACAACAAAACTCAATTTTAATGGAAATTCTTTTGTTGGAGATTTTTTTGATTGAATTTTTTGCAAAAACGCATTCAACCAAGGCAGTGTCACCCTTGTGACCCTCGTGACCCTAGCGACTGCTTTTTTGTGACCCATGTGACCTTACCTTAAGTTGGGAGAGCACCTGAAGACAATCTGAAGGTCCCGGGTTCAAACCTCAGTCTGGACTTTCGAATTTTATCAGTAAATTTGTCTTGTCAACTAATATTGAGAATTATCCTGGTTCCCCTCATACTTATTCTCTCATACTTGAACCTCTGTCTTCTGTGAAGAATCTCTGTAATTCAGGAGAGATAATGGAGATGGAAAGTTTTATTATTTTTCCCGTAATCCTGGGGAAAATGGTACGGAAAACATAAGTTAAATCGTGGCGCCGAAAACAAGTAGAAAATAAATAAAATAAAACAATGTCTGTACCTCTCCTTTGAGTGGCACTACTCCTTTACGAAGAATAAGAATTTGGAGGTCTTGATCTGTCCATTTGGAGGCAATAGTCATAGATTCCTTATCAACACTATTAATCACTTGACAAGTCGTCGTACTACTATTCATCATGGAATATAAATTCCCAAATTCATGGGTTCAATGTTTTATTGAAAGGGTAGTCATGGAATTCGTACGTATCACCTGACGACATTCCAGGAAATATTCCTCGTTTACTTGGATTTCTTACGGATCCTGCTGTATTTTTTGTTCCAACTTTTTTCGAGTATGACCCAAAATGGCTGCGAGAGGGCATTTAACCTTCTAAATTGTTAATAATAATGCTCTTGCGGTAAAATTCAGCCGGCACACTAAGAAATTCGGATTCTACACCGCAAAAACTATAAACGTTTTGCCTATAAACTATAAACTGCAACACAGGTTCAGACTTGCTCGACAATAGGATAATGAATACAAAAAAAAATGGGGAGGGGGAGCTGATGTCCAACCAATGAGAAGAGCCGAAACCATTCGAGCTCAGGGCTCTCTCATTGGATCGCCCTTTTTTACACCATCATCATTATTATTATAAATCATTGAGAAAGTGAAGTCCCTGATCTGATCAGTTTATTGTCCCTGCAGTAGTCATTTTTGACAAAAAAAAAATCAAAAATATTGCCACAGGTGGCAGGATCTTGTCACTATTTCGATTTGGTCTGGCTCCTGAATAGTTCGGACCCGAATACATTTTCTCTTTCACTGCAGCTAAATTACAGGTAATTTGGAATTATCCATGTTGATCAACGCATTAATATCATGATCGAAGCACAACTCAAATTCAGGATTGTACGCACTCATTTTATTATGTAATGATGAAGTAACTGAAGTTGAGGTTAAGTTATCAATCATTTGATGAATAGTTATTTATTATTGAAAACGTTTATTAGTTATTTTTATTAAAAATCTATGGAAATATATGAATTAGAAGCATTTATTATTTCTCTGAGATACAAGAATCCTCATTAAGTTACAATAATGACAATTACATTGCTCTAGATGATCATGTTAGTGATGACCTTGAGTGAACTCCTCAATAATATCAACATTGAAAAAACAGTCGAAATTCTTCCCTCTAGGAAATAAGAAATTTAGAAGAAATGAATAATCATTGGAGTTCATCCAAGGTCATAATATGATTATGATTTTGAAAAAGTAAATGCTTCTCTGAAGTCAATGAATATCTGAAAAATAATTTTTTCCCCAATGAAATTTTTCCTTTCACTGAGCTAACAAAAAAAGTTCATTTCAATATTTTTGTAAATTTTTTATGTATCCATACATATTTTTTTCTCCCAATTCCAGGGTCCCTTGGATTCATTGATTTTGAGGATGGATTACCAAATAACACCACTCATCAAAACACCATTTACGGACATATTTGCAAATCTACAAAACTTCCAGAATCATCCCAAGTGTGCAATGCGTGAACTGGCACTTGTTGATTGTCTTGAAGCATATGGACCCCAAAATGCAGAAGTCAAATGTGGTGTTCTCATGAGGGATCTCAGGGAATGTGTCTTTCGATCCAAACAGAGACAGCGACTCATAATAATGCGAGAAGAGCGCGACAGGCAGGTCAGTGATGGTGAAAGAGAGAGGGCCGACAAATATGCTAAACCACCACCAATGGATACTTACTAAACTGTCAGATCTGCCTCTAATACTGTAATTATCATCATATTATTTAGTCGATGAATAAACGTTGCCCAAAATACTGAAAACAAATTCAATTTTTTTAAATCATTACTCTTTTTATATACCCCATACGTGAGTTATTGTAAAATAAAATATTCTTTATTCGAAATAAGGTGGCATTAAAAAGTATAACATTATTATATTTACAAATGTATCGCTTCAAGTAACTACCAATCCTGTGTGAATTCTTTACGTCGATAATTTTAATTTTTTTAAACTAACGTTACTGTTCTTCCAAGCACAGCACTTCGACCTTCACTCGAAGAGAAAGTTGTCTAGGGCTTGAGGACATTTCGGAATGCTTCCTTCGGTTCGAAAACTCATTTAAATGCTCCTATTATTTTTCGCTGAATTGTCAGTTATTTTATCTATTCGAATTGAGGGCTCAAAAATATCGTACCTGTTCTATAATACTTGCTAATTGCAATACTATTTCTACGTACGTATGAAATAAAATTCAATATTGTTCATCATTTTTTATCAATTTGATTTACATCCACTGAATTTTCTGGTGAAATCCAGTACTTTTATTCGTTTTTCTTCCGGAATGTATTCGATAAGAATCAGAAGGATAAATTCAATTATTTGGTACATCGAAGGCACCTTTTTCTTCCAATTATCCACGAGGAAATATTAACATACATCATTTCTGAATTTTACAATTTTTAACTTCACAGGCCATAAACATCAATTTTAATCTCTGAAAGAAATTCGAGCTCGTGGATAGTGACAGTAGATCATTATTCACGAAACAATTTTTGTTTCCATCAATTTAATTTAGAAGAAAAAAATTAGTTATTTTCGTTAAAACTCCTTATCCTTAACAATGAAATAAAGGATAAAAGGATTAAACTGCACAATTTTAACATACTCAAATGCAGCTGCAATAAATTGATATGCACGAATAGGCGTGCTCAACAGATTATCTAGTCAATCAATAATTTCGAGAGTGCCAAAACCACTGATGAGAAAAAAAAATATAAAAATAAAATAAAATTGCAATCATTGCAAAAATAGAATGAATACTTTTTCCACCAACTCATCAACTTGATCATTCGATTCAGTTCCCTGAAATGCAATTTTCGCAATCGACATTTGAAAATTTTCATTGTGAAATAGCAGTTGTTAAAAACAAGTAAAAGAATACAATGAATTAGCACGTCTCATGGATTATTTACATTCTCAATAGTAATATCAGTATAAAAATCCGTCATCCGATTCATTCCATTATTATTATAATTATTATTATTAAGTACAAACTTTCCAATAACTATAATATTTCAGCTGTTGAAGGAAAAATATTTGTTATACTACTTAAGTACACTTGAAATATTTTGAGCGGATTAAGTACTGTCGCTCGCCATATAAATTTATAATTACGAATTCCTTAATACTTTTAATCGATTGCTGCCTCGGTAATGGACCATTCGAAACAATTGTTACCATGATTCATTAATATATTCATTCAATTCCGTAAAATTCCACTGCAATTGAATGAATTTAGATTTGCATCGGTGCCCACAGAACAATAATTTAGTGTTGATGATTAATTTTTCTCCAAACTGCTTTGGTCTCATTTTCCTTTGTTTTTGTTTTCACTTTCTGTTGAATGACGTGTTCTAAGGCACTTTGAAGGCATTATTTTTCGTGGAGGTGATTTAATTGTCATCAAATGAAATAACATAAGCTGCGATATCCACGATTTCCTCAAATTCAATAATTCCTACTCACTCGATTTCATGTACCACTGAATGAATGATTCTCTCACAGACGCAATACTCCAGTTTGATCGTGACTGAAGTGATTCGGCTGATGTACATGAGTAAAATCAACAATTTCATCGGCTTCTTCATCGCTGGCACTGCCAGTAACACTTTGGGTTGATTGATGGCTTCCAGATGATAACTGGCTGTTCCTGGAGAATGAGCCACGCCTGGGAGCTGCCATCGCTGCCCGCTGATTCGCCGGCTTTACCGTTATTATTAAATTCGATGAATTGGCAATCATCATGTCTGTTACCTGATAACAATAATCAACAATTTTCCATTATAGGGGAGGGTAGGGCAAAATGGAATAGGGCGGGTAAAACGGGATAGTCCAATTTTGCACAAAAAAATTGGAAATTTCTTACAATCATAAAGATATTCATTACTCGTGTAATTTGGCTTCTTCCCTTTTACTGATTTCTGATGGAATTACTGAAAAAACTGTTGAAATCAAAGTGGTAATATTAATTTTTTTCAGTGGAATTTTGGTCCACTATATACATTAATAACAATTTTCAGTATTTTTCAAATTTTCAGCTATCCCATTTTGTAATGAGTTGTACTCATTCACAAACGATACGGTAATTATTATTATTATTATATATTATAGTTACTATACCTGATCCAATGTTTTCCCAGCAACTTCAATCCCATTAACTTCTAATACTTCATCATTAACAGCAAGAAGTCCTGTACTCTCGGCCAAACCACCAGGCACCAGTCGACTGATAAAAACACCGGGGACTTTTTCAATTCCACCACCTGCTGAGGGTGGTAAAACACGAAAACTCTCGCCATCCTTTATGTAAAAACCAAGAGGCTTGTCTGAACCGTGTTTCAGTAATCTGACGCGTCTACAAGTCTCTGGGAGAATGTCAACGTCGATTATCGCTGATACCTAGTAATGGGCGAACCAGAGATATGTTATGAATTTTCAGAATGCATTTGTAAATAATACAGTTGGGAAAATTAAAGTGAATTGTTAGGATTTGAGATTGAATTTCACGGCTCCGTTAGTTTTTAATGAATATCTCGGAATTTGAGGCAGGTAGCAAAATTTTGGTGATAACCTTTTTTGTAGCCCTCGATCTTCTACACAAAAAAGTTCATTACGAAAATTTCGGTATTTCCCTTGGATTCGGAGATATTCGTCGGGAACTCAGCTAAGAGTAGATTTAAACCCTTTTACCGCTTCGTTACTCAATTAAAATTGTAAATATGTTGAGCTTGAATGTCTGAGAGAGTTAACCCCTTCCAATTGTAATTTTCCGTCAGGGTTTTTGAGTTTTAAAGACGGAGCTGAAAGCCCCTGATGATTCCAGAAATGTGACAGGTTCAATAAAAATTTAAAAGGATTTTTGTCGATCACTCAACATTTCGGTCTCCAGAGAGACCGAGACCCTCATCAGGGGTTCCTTCAATCTTCTTCTAATCAACTGTTCAAAATACATATGATTACATTACAATGTAGATTACCTGTCGGAAATCATGAGGATTAGAAATGGCCAATGGTGGCTTTGGTTTTCCTGGTGTGCCACCCAATATACTTGAAATCAAATTCTTAGGCTTCAATGTGCCATAACCGTTGACATCCTCGACACCACTGCCTTTTCTCGTTATAAATACTCTGACTAATGGCTTCGATGCTGCCAGTGCACGCGCCAAGTTATTGTCATTATTAATTGGCAGTGAATCACCGTCGGTGGGATCGGTATACCATATTAAAAAATTTTGCTCCTGGCCCAGCTCATGTTTTTCAGCGAGCAGTCTCCAGAAATCGTCGTACTGCATTTGTTCATTTTTCTTTATCGAAAACCTTATGATGTCAGCATCAAACTGGATGATACAGTGAAATAAATACAGAATTAATTAACTAATTATTGAAAATAAATTTTATTGAGCCATTGACGTTTAGGGAGAACATCAAAATAAAATAATAGTTTTATCTTTTTAGTAATAGGGGAGGATGGGGTAAAATGGACACTGGGCTTTTTTTAAATTACTCATAACTCAGAAACAAATTTAGCAATTGAGCTCAGTTTAGGCTCATTACAAAGGGAAAGAAATGTTCTTTGCATTGAAAAAAAAATTATTGAATTTCATCAACATTTCAAGCTGTCATTAGCATTCAAAAAAAAGTCTAGTGTCCGTTTTACCCCATCCTCCCCTATAATAGTTTTGGACTTACTTTACTTTTAACAGGAATCACGTCACTGTCGACATGCTGAAGATTGTGGTGGAGTTTGCTTTTTGACATTTTGGATCGTCTAATAAATAACAATGAGCAATTGATCGTTAAGGCTTTGTTGATGAATCATAAGTAGTTCTAGGTAGTTTAGTCTGAGCCCTTCGTCCAGTGCTGAATAAAATCTTGAATATCGTCGAGCAACTGATTTTTACGATTCGAAGGTGATATCCGTTATGAATTACTCGGTGATATCAGTAACACCTGTTCATTGTAACATCACTTTTTGTCACATTCGTACACGTACCGATAGACGACTAATGCAGTAATTGTAGAGTACTATTCAATAAGGTTGGAAAATAATATAATTGTTACATTCAATTGCTCCTCCCACACCTTTTTATCCAACCGTCAATCTCAGCGTGAATTATATCCCTCGATGGCACCACTCATTCTTCATATCGGGGATATTTCACTCCGTTGGGCATTGAACAACTCATGGACAAATTTTATGAGTAAAATTGAGATTTTTTTTTGCTAACTGTGAAGTATATATGTATGCAATGTGTATGTACACTCGCTTCACTACACTCGCTGCGAACATACCTCTCGCGACTCCCTTTCGGTATGTGAACTCCACTACGACACACCACCTTCAGACGCTGAGACCCACTCAATCTCTCGGAAAGGCATTTAGTTGCTCTCTCTTCCTCTCTCTGTCTCACTCTCTCTAAAATATCTCACATACCTACTGTGCTTTGAGTATGAAACCTAATGACGCTGATGAGAAACGCTCTTGAGGTGAAATGGAACCCCTGTGTCTGGTGGCACTTGTGTTGACTTGGACTTGTGTTGACTTGTGTAGCAACCGCGGGCAGACATAACCAAAAAAAAGTGAACAGTTACTGATAATTTCTCAAAGAAAAGGGATTACATAGGAGACATACACATTTCTTTTCTTATTGGAAAAATATTATGGAACAATAATTGTTGGTGACTGAAGTAAAAGCTCAATAAACATCCTGAAGACACTGGAAACCCCTCGACAGAGGTTTTGTTTATACCACTGTCTTCCCCAACTCCTATATTGACACATGAAAGATGAGGTATTTACCCTCACACAAAATACACAAAATGACGTACACAAAATAATACTGAAGAATTAAAAAATGACTAAAGAGATTAAACTAATTGTAGACAATTTATTTGAGAGCAGGTCATAGACGAATGATGCGTGCCCTACTGCTAACCCCAGCAGTAACGATGGAGACAAAAGTGACAAGCAAAACCGGCAGTCTAAAGGCCCTTTTACTTCGTGCTTGGCGTGAACGCTGGAGTGACCTCCAATGGGGAATAAATATAAAGACAATTCTTCCACGCGGAGTGAGTGGTGACGTTTACAATTTGGCAGACTGCATACTCCAACAGGCATTAGTGGGGCCTGGGCCAAACGAACTCATTCTCTCGTACCTCAAGCACTCATTGAGCTCGCAATTAGTGTCTTACGCAGCTGTTCTCCAACGCATTAGTAAATACGATGGCTTCCACAAGCCACATTGCATTATCTGTTTGTTAGAATTTTTGGAAACCATTCAAGTTGGAATAACTTGCCGAGGAAGGCCAGAAGAGGATTTTCTGGCGGCCTCTGTGTTATCAATTGTCCACTGGCTACTCCAGTGCTATTTACAAAATTTGATTAAACTACCGCAGCAGACTTTCATCGGCCAAGCTGTCAACTTGACTGAGAAACCGGCAAATATCTTGAAGCAAATGTTGAGCTCTGACTTTCTGTGCGCTATGATGTATCTTGCCAAGCACGACGACAGAGATCTCTACCTCGAAGTCATAAAAAAATGCCAAGAAATCGAGGCGTATCACAAAGCAAATGGACCAAAGTCGCCCCCCATTGAGGAAACATTGAAAAAACTGACAAATTTTGAAATTGAAAGTATTTTTATACTTCCAAATTCAGCCAATTCCCCAGTGGAATCCATCACATATTGCCTACAGCCAATGTTTGCAGTCCAGGTATTGCTGAATGCCAGCACAGAGACGACAATATTTGTCAATCAATTTCTCATGATTCAAAGACTGAAAGGCTACACTAATGCACGATTATATTGCGAAATAATGAGGGCTTGTTTGATGTGCTTGCACAATGCCATTGGGACAGTCAAAGAGTCCCAATGGGGTGCAGTGACATTCCTCAAATTACCCTCAATATTGCGAGAACTTCATGTGAACACACTGGCCAGTCCAGACGAAAAATTCGAGTATTCCCAGGATATTCTGGATGCATTTGAGCTTATTTTTCAACTCACACCCCTGCTGGACATAATGGACGCCACGTGTTCGTGCAACAGCATCGAGTGCCTCTTGACTGAACTGCAGAAAGTCAATTTGGTGACGGATAAGCACGTCAAACAGCTGAGTGGACGTAGAGAGGGCATTGTAGCAGCTTTACAAAAATTGGAGTCATCAAGCTCGCCAACATCATCAATCATGAAAGTTATCATACGTGCTGAGCCAACTTTAGCTGGCATACTGAAAACACTGAGTGCTGATTACACGAAAATCCAAGAGGCATTGCTGAGCATGTTGTGTCAGGTGCTCAACGGCAAGAGTCTGGATCTAATGCTGTCTGTGGCGACAGTCCAGGGCTCCCTCAAGACCCTAGTCTCGAAATTAATAAAATTCAATGAATGCAGTAAGCAGATTAATGAACCTGTGCCTGGGAAGACTGCGGCCACCAGAGCCATGCTGTTCGACATATCATTTCTCATTTTGTGCTGCATTGTACAGACCTACGGCTCTGATATCGTCCTCGAAGAAGGCGGGGATTCCTTCTTCGAACAGTGGGTGCGAGAGTGCATGCCAGAGAAGAATAAACCGAAATCGCCCCAGAAAATGCTGCACAATGTCGACAGCGCGCGGGTTGACGCCCTTTTAACACAGATAACGTCGTCAGAGGCGGATTTCAAGTCCAGCAATGTCAAGTGGCATGTCACTTGTCAAAGTGCCATGGGCGTCGTTAGGGAATTATTGTGCGCTTGGGAGGGCGGAGTCCTGAGTGCTGCTGACGTTAAAAGAGCACTCGATGGACTCAGATCAGCGGCCTGTTGTCTGCCTGTCAGTGCAACTGCCTGGCTCTGCGCTCACATGGGCATCACGCATGAGGATGCTCGGCTCAAACCCCTCAACATGGTTCAGCAATTTGTTACTCCCCTTGCTAACGACGAAATGCAGGACAACTTCAAACACGACACGTCCAGCCTCATGTTTCAAATTATAAGGAAAATGCAGTATGACGTTCATCCACCAACTCAGTCTAAGACGAAGGCGCTCTCGGTGTCGCACAACATCATCTCGAAACAACCGATACTGGAACAGCTCCAATCTGTCTGGGGAGATATTCAACAACGCGGTTGGGTCACTATTCAGTCCACTCAGACGCTGGAATCTCTCCTCAACACTGGTGGCACTCTTTGGTTCGTTGCCAATCTCGTGAAGGAGTCTCTGAAGTACAGAAATCGCGAGGAACTTGATCGCGCCATCGACCTGGTCTTTGCGATTTTCCATTTGGACATTGAACATTGCACTATTAATCTTGTCAATCACGTACTACCTCAATACCTCTACAATTCATTGCAGGGTGAAGAACTGGTGGAACCTCAATCATTCCAGTTGGCAAAACTCTGTGTTTATTGTATTCTATCAACTCTGGAGTACAATAATTCTAATCCCGAAAGGAGTAATAATCGAAAACGCACACGACGTGATATGGAATCTGAGGAATTGGAGAATCTGTGTGGGCCAGCCAACAAAATATTACGACTCAATGAAGCTGGCGATTCCAATGCCATATTCGGATCGAATTCGCCACAAGCACAGGGTCCAACGAATGGGCAAAAATCAATTGTCCTGAGGGATCCACTGATGAGTACTTTGAACGACTTGTTCAAATCGTTCAGCTATCTGGCTGGAAGAGATGGCGAAGTGTCGCAGCAGACACATTTTATTCTGCAATTTTTAAAAATTATGGTACAGTGTGGCAAGGACAGAACTCGGGTTGTACTCCAAGCTATTCCACAAACACTGGTGCCCTGTTTGCTCAAAGCCCTGCCGGAACTTTTCACAACAGATCTTCTTCTTAGGCTTTATGATATTCAAACTATTCCTGGAAGAAAAGCTATGGCCAGAGATCTCTGTATGTTGAGAAACATAAATTTGAAACCAATAAAATGAATGATGAATTGCCCTATTGTATTGACACGTGGAACACTGATGAATAAGATAGAAATTTATTTACGAATTTATACAAATAAAAATTTACCAAAAAACCTACCTTTATACCTTTACCCACAATGATTTTTCCTCTGATAATTTTTTTGTTTGATATATTCACTCATGGCTGTATGCTTTATATTGTTATGAATGTCTTTATCCTATCTAGAATGCATTCTATTTGACATGCATTCGTAATTCCGTAATTTTTTATTCTTCACATCAACATGAAAATTGTTCAGGAGATATTGCATATTGCACCCACTGGCAACTTCGAGGCGATAGTCCGAAATTCGTGAAAATGGATTTCGACTGGCCATTAGACATTTTGCTACGATATTGACGTTAAGATCTAACTCCCATATTGCACCCACTGGCAACCTCGAAGCAATGGTCTCAAATTCGGGAAAAGTGGATAAGGGTTCCTGCTCTGTTCCTGCTTTACGACTCATGTCATTGTGTACTTTGTACAACATAATGTGCAGTTAATAAACATCAATCAATCAATCTCTACTACCGCTACCTCACGGCCAAAAACGGAAATGGGAAATTGACACGTGCATTGTCAGCTGTAAGTGAAGGACCAAACGAAACAATGACATCGTCAAGTTCATTGTATCCCGTGTTTAATTACACCGAACAAAATTTTCACCCAATTGTCAGGAAGGATGATGATCAAACGTCAAAATTTGATGAGTTGATCGTTAAAAAGTGGACTGAGGCAGAGGAAAACAATGTTCTTCGGTACAAACTCAATATTAATAATTGCAAACGAGTCGACGGAAATTACGGGTTTTTGGCTCAGGTATTAAGACTGTTATTAAATAATTTTCGTTATAAATTTTGAATGACATGATCGATTTTTTCAGTTAAATTTCGATAGAGCTAAGAATCGTCGACAGCCTGAGCATATACAATCAATGAAAATGCCGTTCAACCCAGATCGCTTCAACTTCACGAAAATTAATAATCGAGAAATATTCTTCGACGTTGGTGTGGGCGATGGCAACAATGTTGTAGCTGCAAATGTCAGTCCTATGGAATTCGGACACTGTGTCGTCCTCCCTCATAGATTGGAATGTCTCCCACAAGTGGCTACTGAATCAAGCTTGCTAAAAATTACTGAATTACTACTGTTGAGCAAGTCACCACACTTACGAGCTGTCTTCAATAGTTTGTGTGCTCACGCCTCTGTCAATCATTTGCACTGGCATCTTTACTATTTGAAACATGAGATGCTGCTGGAGCACATTGATCTTCGTCAGCTCTCCGATAAACTTTACATGATTGAAAAAAAAGACTATCCTGCAACGGCATTCTGCCTCAAACTGTCAACATTTAACAATAATGTGCGATATTTCGCAAATGTTGGGTTCAAAATTTTAAATTATTTACAAAGCCACGAAATTGCACACAACGTTTATATAACAAGAGCAAAGCAATCACCACTGAATGATGATGATCTTTATGATGACTTGAGAATTTACATATGGCCACGAAATTATAACACTGGTGTTAAAGATACGAGCGGATTTATTCCAGGATCTTCTGAATTCTTTGGACACTTGAATGTACGAAGTGAAGAATTTTATAATGATTTAACTCAAACGAAAATTGAGGAGATACTGAAAGACGCTGTATCAAATACCTTTAATAAAGTTGTGAATAATATTATGAAATTGACGAATGAAAACACTGAGAACAGTCACGTCACTATGACAACATAACACTTTTTAGTGCCTAAATATAAGTGAATTAGCGATGGAAGTTGATCAATTAAAACCGACTAATGGATTATTCCCAGAAGACGATGATGATGGGGAAAATCGAAGTGAATTCCAGTCTCAAGTACAGTATGACAAAAATAATTACATTTCTGGGCCGGAGCGTGTGGAAAATGGAAGTGTCCCAATGAATATATTAACATTTGATCACTCCTATGGATACGACTGCCGCAGACATTTCAATCTTTGCGTTCCCGACCCGAACACATTGATTTTTTCATCCGGAGCTTTCATCAATTTTTTCGACGTTGAAAACAGTAAACTAACATTTCAAAGATGCTCAACGGGCCTTGGAATAGGTCACATAGCGAAGAATCCCAAAGAATTTCACATAGCTGTTGGTGAAACCGGAGATAAACCTCCAATAATAATTTACAAATGGCCAAGTATGGATATAGTAACGATTTTACAAAATGGAACGAAAAAAAATTATTCCCATTTGGCGTACAGTCCAGACGGTAAATTGCTGTTGTCCCAGGGCAGCAGTCCTGATTACTCAATAACAGTATGGAATTGGATAAAATCGATGCCCCTGTTGAGATGCAAGTCTTACGAGCAGGAAATTTACAACGCAATTTTTTCGCCAACTGTTCCTGGACACCTAGTGACGAGTGGATCTGGCCACATTAAATTTTGGAAAATATCGAAGACCTTCACTGGGCTGAAGCTAGAAGGTGTCCTAGGAAAATTTGGTAAAACTGAAATTTCGGATATAGTTGGACTCTACTCGATGCCAGATGAGAAAATAATATCTGGGTGTGAATGGGGGAATATTCTCGTGTGGGAGGAGGGCCTCATAAAACTAGAAGTGAGAAGAAAGAACAACAGGCCGTGTCATTCAAAGATGATTACGCAGTTTGAGTACTGCAATGGGGACCTGATGTCCATTGGCATGGACGGATGGCTGAGGGTGTGGTCTTATGAGACGATAGATCAGACCGACGCATCTCAAGATAAAGGATTCATTGAAATCGAACCGATTAACGAATTCGAAATAAATATCGAGAAGAATGTTTTCGACACAGGGTCAACGTCTTCGATGATTATGGCGCTCGAGAAGAAATATCCGGAGGACAGCGAAGACAAGAAATGGTATGGGCAGGATGGCAATGGGGGCTTGTGGCTCATTGACTTATCAACGTTCGACGAAGCTGTCAATAGTGACGACAAAAAATTCCCGAATGCCACCAGACAATTACTGAGATGTCATGCCGGTCCTGTCATGGATATGACTGCTTGCACTTGGAATTGCCTCGTAGCTACTATCGGATCTGATTGTCAGCTTCACGTCTATAATTACGCAAATAGAAAACTCGTTGGTGCTCACAGATTTAATGACGGAGGGTCTGCAGTCATTTGGCTGCCGTGCTCTCTCGATAAAACTGGTTCAACTATCGTTTGTGGGTTTCATACCGGAGTTATTCGAGTTGTCACTGTTGGATTCAACGATAATTCAGGGCATGTCGAATTAATTCAAGTTGTCAAGCCGCACACCGACGAAATAACAGCGATTGTTGCAAATCCCCCGGCTAAATTATTGATAACTGGCAGCAAAGATTCAACTATTTTCTTATTTTCTATTGAAGTTCATGAGTTCATCAATCTGACGCCAATCGGCTTCGTAGAAATCCCGTCGGCTGTGACCCGCATCACTTGGAAGCCGAAAAATTCATCAACAATTTTAATTGGCTGCGCGGAAGGCCATTTCGGTGAGATTCAGGTGCCAGAAAAATTTCCATCGAATGATGAACATCGCAAGACTTATCGTTTGGACGAGTATCGTGCGAAATTTCTCAAATTTCGGTCGGTCAAGTCTGCCCTCAGACGGGAAATGGTGAGACAAGAGAATGAAAAAAAAGTGATGGAAAAGCGAGAGGAAATGAGGAAGAAACTCGATGAATATAGATCGCTCAACCCTGGAATTGATGTTGATGAGGAGACATTTCTCGAGGAAGTTGAAGAGCCTCTTCAACTTCCTGAGCTTTATGTACCGAGGGAACCGAATCCGGTGCAGAATATTAATTACACTAATGCAGGGTCTGTCTGGCTGTCTGTGGGGGGATACGACGCAGGCTATATTTATGAATATCCCAGCATCACTGGTGATGATGATGAGGAATCTGTCCGAGAAGCCGAGCCCCTCAGAGCTACACCACTGCGAGACGCTGAAGACTTGGAATTGAAATGTTCTCTGTCTCACAAGGATTCATTAATTTTCCTGGGCCTAGAGCACGGACAACTTCGTATTTGTCGGGTAGATCCTGAAGATTACACGAATTTTTCAGACTATTTAAGCTATCCTGCGCACGACTACTATCGTGGCGATATGAATAAAATATTACTGAGTCAGGACGAGAAGTATTTATTCACATGCGGCTGTGACGGCAATATTTTTTCATTTCGCGTGAGCTTCGGGGAAGATCGATCAGTTGGAAAAATTGAATTCGAAAATAATGATAGGAATGCCCGGCCGGCGCGGAAGAAAGACGTTGAAGATATCAGAGACGTGAATTATCCGAGCTTAGAACAAGTGATAATAACGACTGAGTCCAATAGGATTATGTCACTGACGAAGAAAAATAGAGACGATGTGTATTATTTACTGAGAAATTTCACTAAGGATTATCAGGGAATTATGGAACGAAACAGACAGCTGATAAAGTCGCAACAGATTCCTCCGAGTGATTTCAAATTGGACGATCGGATCGTCGAGGATTTGAATTCTCAATTGAAGTGTGAGATGGATTTGATAGATCAGAGAATGGCTTTTAAAATTGAAAGAAATCAACTGATTCTGAGGAAGTTGATGGATCATTTTGTGCTGCCAATCACTTGTCTTCCGTTTGCTGTTTCCAGAATATCGTACGACAGTCATTTTTTAAATACTTGTGTTATTTTTTACTTGCGAATGGAAGTTTTGTATTCGTCGAATCCGAAAAAAATTAGAAATTTCTTAAAATCATAAAGACGTTTCCAATCGTTTTCGAGATATGAAATAAATATGAAATCTTAGTATAGAACCTTTTGTAGGAAATGCACGAGGAAATGCATCTCCACTAATCTTCCAGATATTGATAAAAAAACTGTTGAAAACAAAAGTCGTAATATTAATTTTTTCAGTGGAATTTTGGACCTCTATATACATTAATGACTATTTTCAGTATTTTTCGAATTTTCAACTATCCCGTTTTGCCCCGTGAATTGTAATATTCGGCTCGAAGCTAGTGATATTGGAAGAAAAATTAATCCCTCTAACATGTGCAGTGATGGTATCCCATGTTGCCCTTCCCTTCCCTATTGTTTTTTAATTGGATCTCTATCTACGAACCTTTGCAGTAAACCGGAGACAATGATCCACTCGGTGAAGGAAAAAAAATTGAGCGAAAACTTCCAGGCTGAATATGCCGACGTTCTACAGAAACTTTCACGAGCTAAGGATTCAGAAAAGTAGGTGGGGAGGTTGGGGTAAAACGGACACTGGACTTTTCAAAAAATGTTAATGAGGGGTTGAAATGTTGATAAAATTTAATTACTTTTTTTTTTCAATACAAAGAACAATTCTTTCCCTTTGTGACGAGCCTAAATTGAGCTCAATTGATGAATTTTTTTCTGAGTTATGAATAATTTTTAAAAAGTCGAAAGTGTCCATTTTACCCCACTTATGGAGTTCAACTGAAGCTAATTGCCTTCCAATTCTCACACAGCAAAAACAAATGTTTGAACTGCACTCACTTTTTGTAGAAATTTTTTACACTAAAAAAGTTTGAAAAAAATGAAAATTTGCCTGAATTTCAAACATGAATTGAGATGTTTGGCCATCTGTTCGTCTAAAATTCAGACACATTTTCATTTTATCCAGACGTTTTTTGGTGTCTGAAAAATGTCTACAAAAGGCGTGTGAAATTCAGACATTCGTTTTTCCTGTGCAGCCGCTGTATTTTTGCTCTCCATTCCAGGGATTTTGTATTTCATCAGTCGACAATGGCTGATGAGAGTGACGATCAGGGAGAAGGAGCAGGCAAAGGAGACCAGGAAGAGAAACTGAAAATCGATGGTGTAGCTAGTTTCCTGCAAGACCAGAATTTCTTCTCAGATGAAGAAAAATTAACGGCAGAAATGAAGCAAATGTTGAGGAGATATAATGACAAAAAATTGCAAATAGAAAGGAGATCCAAGGAATGGAAAATAATGCACGCGAGTAAACCAGATCCCAATTCCGATCATCCTGACGACATACGAAATGTTGAAATTGCCAGAAAAACAATCGGCGATTACAAGTTGAAAATTTCCTCGAACTATGACATGGAGGGTCAACGAGAGCGAGAAACAACGCTGAGCAAATATAAACAATTGTTAGATTGTAGGAAAAAAGTATGAAAAAAACAACAAACATCAACATCTATAAAGTGTCTGTTAATTTTAATTAACGGTTTAAAAATCATAATCTCTACTGGATTTTTTTTTCAGTGTCATTATTTGCGCGAGTCATTCAATGATAGATTGAGATTTATGAGAGCGAAGAAATTATCGCTGAAAAGTGAAATTGAAAGTTCAGTGGAAAAAAAACTGAATGCAATTCACGCAGAAATCCCAAAGCACTATATAAGGGAAATGCCAGAAATGAGAGCCATTGATGCTTCGCTCGAATTTCCAGAAAATAATTTGAAGGTATAGGGGGGAATTGATTATTTTCCGAAGTCACTTCGAGTTTTCGTTGAATTTCTCGAAATCCAGGGGAGACAGCAAAATTTCTGTTATAACACTTTTTTGTAGCTCTCAATTTGCTTTACAAATTGATCTGTTAGAGATCTGAACGATGTTAGGGTGAATGGGGGAAGTGTGATGTACTTTCACGCCCGAAAAAATCAATAGAAAACCTAGGGAATTCGCTAGAAAATTCTATTGGAATCCAATAAGAAAAATTCAGCAGATTTCAAATTTTTGTTTGAATTTTTCTCTCAAATTTTTTCTCTTAGAATTATTGCGCAAAATTTTCCAACTTTTTTTCCACTGGATTTTGATTTATTTTGCATTGCAGAACCCAAGTGGAAAAAAACTTGGAAAATTGATGGCCAAGTATTCTCCAGAAATTCGAAATCTTGATTTTTGAATCTCACAAAAGTTTTCTCATTCAGCTGGAGAAATACATTTCCATGGGTGAAAAAGTAAAGGAGGCACGCAGGCAGAAACAATCAATCATCGACGAAACAATGCAACAAGCTCTCGATGACGAATTTAAAACTATTTTACCTGACGAAAGCCTCTTCGAGTACTATTCAGATTTATTACCAACTTCTCTAAACATTAAGGAGAAAAAACGAATCAAGCAAGTTGACATTGCGATCCCGAATCATGTCCAGAAGATGATGCAGGATTATGACAGGAAAATAACTCCGTGGGAGCGGGAGATGAAGGCAGTGCGATTGTCAAGAAAGCTTTATGAACAGGACTGTATAATCAAAGACATTGAATCGAGATACGAAGACATTGATCGAGAACTCGATGAATTGGAGTCCATGAGACTCCAGGTCTACGCAGACGGCGTCTACTCTGATTTATACAAATTAACACTGCATCAAGAATTGATAGTTCTCCGAGACTCCGAGAGAACTGAGAATTCTCTGAGGGAAAAGCTGAACACAAAATTACAGGATAAGGCAGTCGCGCTTGATAAACTCCAGTCGATGATGAGAAATATTGATAAAAAGAACAGAGACATAAAAAACATTCAGAATAAAATGAAGGAGCAAACTGCATATTTTGCAAGTGCGACACAGGACAACAAATACGCCAAATTTCTGACGAGGATTTTCAAGAAAAAAGTTAAAATCGGTGTGGCGCAGCGGTCAGAGAGCTCTAGCCAAATGAGTTCCGATAGTTCCGATGAAACTAGTACGGATCAAGATGATAGCGACAATAGTAGTGTCGACATTCATAAAATTGCATTAACAACGTTCGACGAAAGCGTTTGCCCCCCTGACTGCTCTCGAGAATTGTACGATCTGGCATTTTCTATGCGGCTGAAGCGTCACGATAACGAAAATGAAATTCGCGAGGAACAAAAAAATGTGGAGTCTCTCCTGCGGGAAGTCGATCACGATTCTAAAAAAATTAAAATCATCGAGACAGCTGTGAACGACTGCAAACAGACATTGAATAATTTTATGCACGAGAAGCAATGCAGATTGAATGACATCGACATGACTTTAACTCTGAATTTTCATCAGCTTGAACATTTCGTTGATGACGATAATTTATCCAAAATGTTCAACTGCGTTGTGTTTGACACGACGAGATTATCTCAATTGTACAGAAGAGTTGGGGAGCTGCAGCAGGAGACGTGCGAGCAAAAAATGAGGCACAAAAAAAATTGCACGCATCTTCATCGAATGAACATCGACTGCAAATATATGAACAGTCAGATTAAGAGGCTCAAGAGTTGTGTCGAGGAAGAAATGCTCAAGAAATTTGGCTGCCCGATTTCACTGGCTTCGCTTTATGAGGCTGTTGTGCGCAGGCTCATTTACAGTATGAAAGCAAATATGACTGATAATTTGAAATACGAAAGGCAGTTCAAGTGCCTGAAGGAGAGGTACGACGAGAATATTTTGATATTGGAAAATCTTGTCAGAGATAATACGGAGAAGTTGAGCGTTCTCACTGTTTTAACGGAAGAGCAGATGAGGTTTCATAAGATTATTAAGAAGTGGCCGGAGACGTCGAAGAATATATTTCAAAGTGAGCTTGAGTGGCGGAAGGATCTGGCGCACCTCGAAGGAATTATTGTGAATCAGAAAGAGCAGAAGGAATTTTTCCGCAGCGACGTGAGGAATTTGAAACTCAAGATACGCTCGCTGCCTCCGGTCACGTCGCGAAGGAAATATCTTCCGAGTATTAAGAAAATTTGCAGTAAGAGTGATGATGAACAGGGTGCATCCGTCAGGGATGAGACTTGGCAGGAGAAAAAAACCGCAATATCGGAAATTTTTAAGGATAAAATTCATGATTCTGCACTTCGCATTGTCAGAAATTTGTTATCTAAAATTATTCAACAATATGTGGAGCGCGAAGAAGCCAAGAGTATAGTTGACCAATTTTTCAATGAAATTTCGAAGAAGCATTCAAACATTTCGACCGACTTCATCGATAGTTTCATGGAGATCTGTGAGAAAATTGAAAAGAGAATTGAGGAAATTTCGACAAAGGCTGGAATTTCCGGAAAAATACGAGACATTATTCTGGAATACGCGAATGAAATAATTTCACAACTGGAAATTGAGTCGCGGGGCATTGGAGTCGGTTCTGTCGAAATATCTTGGAATGTAAAACCGAAACTCGACGAGTTCTTGGAAAGTATGGAAATTAAAAAAGACATTACTACGGAGGTTTACATTATGAAATTTTTGAAGATGGAAATGGGTTTAGAACTCGCTACGGACTATGTTTTAACGAAATTGTCGACGAAACCCGATTCAGAGACAGCCATTGCATTTCGTGAACACGCGTCCAGGACGCTGAGAGAAATTCAAAAGCATATCGATGGAGAATCCGAGACTGAAACAACTGCGAAGAGTTCAAACTCTGGTTTGTAGAGTTTTTCTCGTCGTTCTACTTTAAATATTCGACATTATAAAGAAAACATGGGGGTGAATCTCTTTATAAATTTTTATCAACATACATTAGCTTTCGAGGTGGAATTTTTTAATCAACTAGTACTTTCTATGGTCCCAGAGTATTGTACAAATATTATTGAATATAATTATGAAGAAATTAGAAGTCAGCATTGCATTACAACTCGAGACGGTTTTCAATAAAACCGAGAGCATCACTGGAGTTCACTCTTAAACTTATTTTATATTTCATCCTTTTGTATCGAAGGGAATCGTTGCTCTTTAGTCAGAAATAAATAAACTCAAGTATCTTAGAGTGCTGAGATTGAGTCCACATTACTCGACCATTCTACTGTACATAACATTCTCATAACTGTAGATGTAGCTTATAATATTGTGATAAATTGATAAGTCACATAATCAAGTCTATATTGTACTTTTGTATTTGATAATAAAAAACTATGGAAAGTCTGGTACAATCAAAGTTTGGAATCATGAAACGAATGTGTCATTGTTTCTTGAAACTCTTCAATATTGGATAGATATTATCAAATGCTTCGTAAATTTCTTGACGTACCTTTGCACCTGTAATAATAGAAAAAAAAATTAAATAGTGGAAGAACACAAAAACCACATATAATTGAGGATAAAATGTTGATTTTTGTTGTTGTACCTGTCAGCACCACTTTTCCTGAAACGAATATAAGTAGCACAATTCTCGGTTTGACCATACGATAAATTAACCCGGGAAATAATTCCGGTTCGTACGAGGAGAATTGCCCATGAGTCAAAACCAATCCTTCCAATCTGATTGGAAATTTTACATCACAGCTGCCCACCATATTCTGGATTTTAAAATCCAAAAACTTTGCCTGAAACATCATCATCATTATTAGGAGAAAATGAATAAATTTTCATAGTTATAGAGCAATAATTTGTTTCATATCCCATTTTGCCCCGCCTTCCCCTGTAAAATACAAAATAATGTAGCTGTGTGTGTTCTCACCGGAAATCCGAGCTTTTGGATTATTCTGGCGTACTTTCTTGCTGCCAATCGTGAGTCCTCCTCACTCTTAGCCCCAGTGCAGACCATTTTGCCACTGCTGAATATGAGGGCTGTGGTGCGTGGCTCACGAATTCTCATTATAACAGCGGCAAATCTCTTTGGATTGTACTCAGCATTTCTAGCGTGGAGTGCAATTTTTTTCAAGTCTAGTTTACAATTTAAGTTAACTGTAGACACGATATTCCTGTGGACGTGAAAATCATTTCGTATTTGAACGGTACTTGACGTTATAATATTCCTAGAAATGAAGAATTACTGTAATTGTGGTAGAATTCCAGGATCAGCTGATGCTGGTGTCATTGGTGTCATTGGGCCAGGTGTTGAAGGGCCTATCGAAGGTGGTGCTATTTGATTGGCAGGCTGCATTGGTGACATCATATTTTGCTGCAACATGAAAAAATAAAATAGTCACGAATGCTGTAAATTCGGAGAAAAGTCTTTTGTATTCCTTAAATCCGAAATTTCCAATTTTTTGTATTAAAATAACTAATTCAGCATTAGATGAATGGATTAATGCATTGATTGAATGAATGACTGCATCATCTCTTGTTGAAAAAATTAATTTTGAAACCAATATTCAGGGAAAAGTCAAAAATCCAGTGGCAAAACGATTTAGCTGACTTTTCGAGGAATATCTCCGAATCTAAGGAAGATAGCGAAATTTTCGTCATAACCTTTTTTGTACCCCTCGATCCACTCTACAAAAAAAGTTATGATAAAAATTTTGCTATCTGCCTTAGATTCCGAGATATTCATTAAAAACTGATTAATAGTCGAAATCGACTTCGCCTGAGTTGTTGAGGAATATCTCCGAATCTAAGGGAGATAGCGAAATTTTTGTAAAAACCTTTTTTGTAGCCCTCAATTCGCTCCACAAAAAAGGTCATTACAAAAATTTCGTTATCTCTCCCAGATTCCGAGATATTCACAGAAAACTGAATGAGTTGAATTCAAAAGATTTCATCACAAGAAAATTGCTAGTTTATTAACAAAAATTTATTGGCTATGCTGTGATGAAAGCTATTTCCCACTCGTGTGTCTTCTACGTACTGGAGTCTGGGGTTGCATTAAACTTTGTGGAGTCGCAAAGGCTGGAGTTGGGGCATAAGTGTGCATTGTTCTCTGTGGTGTCAACATTAGCATTCCACTCTGCAGATTTGGACTCATCGTGTGCAATTGTTGCAGCTGATACTGCTGCTGTGACTGTTGTTGCTGTTGCAAGGCATTCGGAAGAATCTGTTGATCCTCCTCCGGCTGATGCAAGGGAGTTCCAATACTGGGGATACTGAACCCCGGGCTCGGCAGCATTTGGTCCATTTTGACTATTTTTTCTTGTCCTCGACAGTCTTGTTTATTTCAGTACCACGACAACAGTGGAGTAGACTGAGATGCTCTTGGGTTAAACATGTTGTTGCTTAGCGACTCTTCTCATTTCGGCCCATTGAAAATTCTAGGCAAGTCACAATCAATTATTGGCGATGGAAAAACGAGCGCGCATCGATCGAATTATTCTTGAAAATCTGTTTCACATTTCTTTTAGGAGGAAGAGAATTCTGTAAACGTCAAAACACTTGTGCGAGGCTGTCTTTTGTATTAACAAGTTTTCATGGTTAGGATTTTCGGCAAGAAGCAGCTGGGCGATCGCAGCGCAATGTTTTGGGGGAATTTTCAATTTACTCCCCAGATCGCGTCACTATTACATTTAAATTTGAATTTTCATTAGTAACAACTGATGACCATTCGACATAACTTTAAAAGCAAATTAAATTATTAAAGGGAAATCGTAGCTCTATATTTATGAAGAATTTACAAAAATCTTTATTATAAAATACAATATAATTTTTAAAAAATAATTATTCTCTTAATCTAAATGGATTTTTTAGCAAAAGGGCAAAACTATTGACGAGTATGAAAACAATAAACTATTATTGTTATAGTTAAATAATTACAGTCCTCTGGAATAGTGTATGCGTCATGAAAAATCATTGGTAAATTTGGCAATTTACAGACTTGGATATGTTGTGTAATAAAAATTCTTGAATTGTTTTGTATTGACTGAATACAAACTAGTGTCGTGAGTAGATACAGGTTGAATGAGATTGGGTGACAGTGATTTTTCAGGCTGAACATTAGGGAGGATGAACTCAGGCATTGGTGTTTCTGGATTAACAGGTGGTTCTGGATCACATTTTTTAGGAGAATAAATTAACATTGGGGAGGGCTGACAGTTCATGGGGGCACTGGGGTCACTCGGATGGCTGTTGTCAAGGGGGACTGCATAGTTACTGATTGCTGGATTACTCGATGACAATTGCTGGGCTTTACACTTCTTCGTGTGCGCGTAGAGTGAGCCAGCATTATTGTATCTCTTGGTACATATTTTACAGGCGTAGGGCCGCTGGCCAGTGTGAGTGAAAGTATGCTCGTTGAGGGATGTCAGGCGTCTGAAGGACTTCATGCATATTTGACAGTGGTATTTAGCCTCCCCTGTGTGCATTGTTATGTGTCGGGCTAAGGTATTCGCCCTTGCAAATGCTCTACTGCAGTACTGGCATATGTAGGGTTTTTCACCGCTGTGTGTCCTCAAATGCAATTGTAAATATGTACTCTTCGTAAATGCACGACTGCAGACGTTGCACACGTAGGGCTTCACTCCGGTGTGGGTGCGCATATGGGCGACTAGCGAACCACTTTGGGCGAAACATTTACTGCAGACCTCGCAGAGAAATCGCTTCTGCGGTTGCTTTATTCTTTTGTGACGCTCCACGTGATTCGCTAATGTCTGACTGTGAGCGAAACTTCTTGGGCACATGGGGCACTGGTGGGGCTTTTGGTTTTTCCCCTGGGGGGGAGAGAAAAATAAACGTGTGGATTATTGAATTTTTTTATCAATGAGGAGGTATTGGTGCTAATGAATTCGCTATTTGCTCCCGAATGGATTCTCTTTTTTTTAATTCTTATTTTACTATTCTCTTCTTCTATTTTCTCATGTCATAGGACTATTGTCAACTGAAATGTCATCGAAATTTTTGCGTATTAATTCCATTCTGATGACAATTTTTTGAGTGGTAATTGAAAATTCGATTTTTGGAGGAATATCAATTTTTTCGAATCTGTATGAAAAATTGAATTTTAATTGGAGTCCATGAGTAGAGTTTATTGAAGTCTATATTCATGAAAAAATTCATGAAATTTAATTGATCCCTTATAATAAAATTTCGAAAAAAAATTTCGAAAAAAATCTAAAAATCACATATTCTGACTTTTAACGATATCTACGTACTTTGGCTATTTTTTGTTCTGTAGTCGAGCATCGGAGCTTTCATTTAAGCCCCATTCGACCCTAATTTTCCGCACATTTCACAATAATTTACTAATTTAAACTCTGCAGGTTTGAATTTCAATCTCGATATTGAACCATTAGAAAACATTTAAAAATCTGAAAAAATTGGAACGTTTACTTTTGCAGGAAGATTTATGAAAGAATTAAAAAATTTCAATTTTTGAAAATAACGAGCAATTTATAAACAATCAATTTTCTACAATAACAATTATTGTTCGGAATCGTAACAAATTTATTCATAATCAGAATTTTACCGGAAATTGATTTCATGCCTAAGAAAATACGACTTCCGAGAGTTTAAACAACTTCAATCATTTATTTATAAACAACAAATGTTTGAAGAAATAATAATTCTGTGCAAAATGTAATTTGAATGAAACTTGGATATCCTGAAGATCATATTTAGTCCCCCTAACACAAAAAATTGTAAACTTAAATTGAAACAATTACAAAGTCTCCATTCGACAGCAAAAAATTAATAATTAACAATTAATAACTAAATAAATCGAAGAGCAACGGATGTTTACCTTCTTTCGACTATCGGAATTATCGCCATCCCGTTTATTTTCGCTTTCATTGTCAGTATCCGTGTCATTGTTATCATCGGAGAGGGAAAAAAATTCATTTCTGTGCTTAGACTGTTCGTGCTCCTTCATTTTATCAGCCCGTGAAAATTCTTTTTGGCACGTTGGACAGTTGAATTTTAAACCGCTGTGGGTAGAGAGGTGTCTCTTGAGATTTCTCTTGGTGGCAAATAATTTTCCACACTGGGTGCATTGTAGGCCCTCCAGAGGCATATCGTCGTCCTCAGAATCGTTGTGGAGTCGTCGTTCATCACACTTGTCCTTTCCCTCAACAGTTTTCTCCCTTTTTTTGTACTCTGGATGTCGCTTTGCGTGAGTTGAAAACGACTTTTCGTACGTAAATTGCTTTGGGCAGTATTTGCAAGAAAATTTACTCTTTTTTTTTCTCACTGCGCCAGAGGTATCATTTTTTTCCGAAGTCTCATTCTCATCGCATGGAATATTCTCCACAGGATTGACTTCTCCGGAGTTTTTCTCCGGATTCTCCGGACAATCGTGGCTATCAGCCACATGAATCTTCAATTTTTCTACAGTCACAAATTGCTTCTCACACATGTAACAGACGTATCTGTATTTTGTTTTATTCCCAGTGACTTCGGTGTTTATTCGCGTGACTTGATCGCACGATTTATTGGCAAAATCTTTGTCCCGGGGACAGCCAACAGGCCCCTCCTCCTTCACCTCACTTCCACTGGTGTCCAGGGTATTTTTAGCCATTTCTTCGTTGTCTCCACCCCCATTGTCTCCATTATTTTCACCTCCGCTTGTGTTTTTCGTGAGGACCAAGTAAAATGGCTTTTCTTCCCCACTCCCAATTTGCTCTTCCAACGTCTTTCCATCGGACATATGATTTAGCTGATCCCCACAGGCCTCCACCTCCTTGTTAATCGACTCCGACTTGAGATGATCCTCCTCTGATTTCTCGAACGTTTGCCCTTGCCTGAAAATTTCGCTGCTCTCCACGAACGGAGAAATATTGAGAGATATTTTCTTATCGTTATTTCCACCATCGGGGGCTCCCTCAAATGCAACTGAATCCTCCTCCTCGTCATCGTCATCATCAACATCATCGTCATCGTCCTCATCATGGAGATACTCTTCGGTTTGATAAGTCTCCACACTTTCACTCCCATGACTTATACTCTCCCCCATTTGTCTGTTTGAAATCTCATCCGAAATTGCTTCAGTTATCACTTCGTTAACTGATTGAGCTACTGTATCTTCATGCAACATTGGCTGGTGCATTTTCAATGCCTCGCGAAATTTAGCGTCTGATTTTTCCACTTGGCATTTGAAATTGTAAGAAACGTCCAGCAACTCGCGACAAGAATAACATATGACGTTGGGAAGTCCATCTCCTTCTTGTACCTAAAACAAAAAGAGGAAAACAAAGAAATCTTACAATGTGTAATGGATTTTCTGTTTTTTTTAATGTTAATAACTTTGAATTTTTGGTGAAATGGAACGATTTATTTTTTAATATTGAGATCAATTTGTCGAGTTATGAATATTTAAAACAATGTCAAAAGTGTCTATTTTAACTTATCCTCCCCTACACATCATGCATAGGATATAAATGCAAAAATATTGAAGGTATAAGTGAGAATAGGAAATTGACGTTAAAAATAATAAATTATTGTTATTACTATTATAAAATGAGATATAAACTATTGGAGTTGGCGAATGGGAGTATTTACCATGACTTTTTTAGATGTAAAACTGTAAAAATAGCATCAAAAAAATAAAGTATTCCACATTAACAATAACAAACCCATAGAAATGAAATAATAACTATTATTTCATTGTTATTACTATTAGGAAATGAGATATAAACTATTAGAATTCTGTAAATGGGAGGATTTACTATGACTTTTATAGATGTAAAATTGTAAAAATAGCATAAAGAAAATTAAGTATTCTTCATTAACAATAACAAACCCATAGAAATGAAATAATAACTATTATTTCATTGTTATTACTATTAGGAAATGAGATAGAAACTATTAGAGTTCTGTAAATGGGAGTATTTACTATGACTTTTTTAGATGTAAAATTGTAAAAATAGCATCAAAAAAATTAAGTATTCTACATTAACAATAACAAAGCGATAAAAATGAAATAATAACTATTATTTCATTGTTATTACTATTAGGAAATGAGATAGAAACTATTAGAGTTCTGTAAATGGGAGTATTTACTATGACTTTTTTAGATGTAAAACTGTAAAAATAGCATCAAAAAAATTAAGTATTTTACATTAACAATAACAAAGCGATAAAAATGAAATAATAACTATTATTTCAGTGTTATTACTATTAGGAAATGAGATATAAACTATTAGAATTCTGTAAATGGGAGTATTTACTATGACTTTTTTAGATGTAAAACTAAAAATAGCATCAAAAAAATTAAGTATTCCACATTAACAATAACAAACCTATAGAAATGAAATAATAACTATTATTTCAGTGTTATTACTATTAGGAAATGAGATAGAAACTATTAGAGTTCTGTAAATGGGAGTATTTACTATGACTTTTTTAGATGTAAAATTATAAAAATAGCATCAAAAAAATAAAGTATTCCACATTAACAATAACAAACCTATAGAAATGAAATAATAACTATTATTTCATTGTTATTACTATTAGGAAATGAGATATAAACTATTAGAATTCTGTAAATGGGAGTATTTACTATGACTTTTATAGATGTAAAATTGTAAAAATAGCATCAAAAACATTAAGTATTCTACATTAACAATAACAAACCCATAGAAATGAAATAATACCTATTATTTCATTGTTATTACTATGAGGAAATGAGATATAAACTATTAGAATTCTGTAAATGGGAGTATTTACTATGACTTTTATAGATGTAAAATTGTAAAAATAGCATCAAAAAAATTAAGTATTCCACATTAACAATAACAAACCCATAAAAATGAAATAATAACTATTATTTCATTGTTATTAATATTAGGAAATGAGATAGAAACTATTAGAGTTCTGTAAATGGGAGTATTTACTATGACTTTTATAGATGTAAAACTGTAAAAATAGCATAAAAAAAAAAAGTATTCTACATTAACAATAACAAAGTGATAAAAATGAAAAAAAACAGCAAGTCTAACCTGGACGGCGGCGCAGGCCATAATCCTCGAGGATATTTCTTCATCAGATTGAAAAACCTGCCAAATATCTGTAGTTTTTTTCAAACAAGTACGACATTTTTCACCGGTAATATCATCGTCATCCAAAAAATACTTTGCTGTCAATCTCGGAGTGAAAATTTCCATTGCAAAACTTGCTGATAAAGCCTATATTATTTATTATGATTTATGTAGTACAAAAGATGATGCATATAGAGAGCACTCTAGTTTCTCTCGCTCGGGGGAAAATGACGGAAAAGTGACCGTTAATTTCGCTCGCAGCCTCTTCGCAAAACGCCCATTGTAAATGAACTGCGCGCGTGTGTCTGCGCATTTGTCGGGCCTCACGTAAAAGTGAATAAGCGAATAAGGATAGAAATCCTCCAATACAGTGACACGTTAGGGATCTGTCAGAGGCTGAATTAAAAGGCGACTGAGGGGTTTTAGCGATAAGGATATCCAGTGGTGGCGTTGGAGAAATTGATGAAATTATCCGGAAAATAATAAAAATTGATCGAATTTATTTCGTTACCAAGTGATATAAAGTGTGTGTGGTGAGGTAGTGGGGCTGCATATGAGAATGATGGCCGCCACCAATGAGGAAACGAGTGTTATGGAGCCATCGAGAATAAATTCAGGACAAAATCAGCCCAGTGACAGACTCAAGATGCTTTATCCAATGGTCAATGAGGAAGAGACACCTCTGCCGAGGTCATGGAGTCCAAAGGACAAATTCAACTACATTGGATTATCGCAAAATAATCTTCGCGTTCATTACAAAGGTATGTGTGTGTGGCTGAGCACCTCCGTGCTCTCCTCTACTGCGATTCATGTTTGACCAATCGTTAAACATGACCTTCTTGAGGATATTGGGAATTTTCAGCTACTGGTTAATTATTCATTTGTTGGCTACGACAATTCTCCGATTTTTTTTCATTCAACTATTCGCAGACATCAACTATTGATTGTTATACATAGGCAGCAGTCTTTCATCGAATTTTTCGCGTGTTTGTCAGCGACCTAAACAAAGGAATCAGCTGATCGGTCATAGTCTGATTCCATGATGGATTTTCTCTCTGCACTTTTCACAGTGAAGACAATTTTTTTAAAAATAAATTTCCGAATTTAATTGGAGTAGTTCCTCTCCAAAAAATTCAGGAGAATCTGGAATTTTTAGTTAAAAAATTTAATCAAAAAATGTAGGGGGATGGAGAGAGAGGCCGAGGGACCATTTTGTGCATGAGATATCTCCAATGTCAATGACAGCTGTTCTGAATAGTATATTTACATAATTTCTTCTCTCAGTGCTTGATAAGATTGGAAAATGAGGTGTTATTCTAAAAATAAGTGCGATATTATCATTGCAATATCACTTTTACATTGCGGAGCAATTGTACGCCTTCCGCATCGTCACGTTTAATGCTTCCTTGAGTTTCCCATTGGCTCTTGTGGCGGAGATATTTTTTACGTGCGGTAGGCGCACTTCAATGTGAAGGCGTCAACGTTTTGCTCCATGAGATCTGTTGCGTATCGAATTGTAGCCTTTTTATGGACCGTGTTTACACAATTGTTTAGAAAGATGATGAGATTTAAAAATACGTAATAACGACGAACTGGTTCTTGGGCGGAGGAGAGTGATGATGAATTGTTATGGGGATTTTTATAACATTTTTGTAGTCCACAGAATCTCAGTAACGAAACGGTAAACGGTTCAAGTTGATTTTTACTATTGGTCAGTTTGCAATGAATATCTCGGAATCTAAGGGAGATAGCAAAACTTTTGTTATAACCTTTTTTGTAGAGTGAATCGAAGGCTACAAAAAAGGTTATGACGAAAATTTCGCTATCTCCCTTAGATTCGGAGATATTCCTCAACAACTCAGGCGAAGTCGATTTCGACTATTAGTCAGTTTTTAATGAATATCTCGGAATCTAAGGCAGATAGCAAAATTTTTATCATAACCTTTTTTGTAGAGTGAATCGAGGGCTACAAAAAAGGTTATGACGAAAATTTCGCTATCTCCCTTAGATTCGGAGATATTCCTCAAAAACTCAGACGAAGTCGATTTCGACTATTAATCAGTTTTTAATGAATATCTTGGAATCTAAGGCAGATAGCAAAATTTTTGTCATAACCTTTTTTGCAAAGTGAATTGAGGGCTACAAAAAAGGTTGTGACAAAAATTTCGCTATCTCCCTTAGATTCGGAGATATTCCTGATAAACCCAGCTGAGAGCTAAGTCAACTTGAATCGTTTTACCGCTTCGCTACCGATGGCTCATAAATTATGGTCTAAATGAGGAGAACATTTAGTTCTCGAAACGTTGGCCATTTGAATGACAAGGGTTTCATTATTTTTCACCCCCATTTTATGAACATTGCTGATATTACCGCATAACGGCCCAGATGAAGACATGTTAATAACAATTTAAGCGACTCTAGTGCAAATAATTTGAATGAATGCACTAATCATCATTCACTCAATTCTGCATTGTTTTTCGCAACTGCTATATGTCAACTCTAGACTCCAATGCATAAAGAAAATTAAGTGAACAATTGATTGGATATTTAATAACAAAAGAGCATTGACAATTCGATGAGAGATTGTGTAGGGATTTTCGATGCACATCAGAATGAGCGGTTACTCGGCTGACCTAGTGACCTAGAAAGAGCTCGATTGTCGATGCAAAACTATTGCTCAATCCCTCTAATCCTTCCACATATTAGGAAAGAATAGGTAATTGAGACCTACTGACCGCAGTAAATTGCAGGTTTATCTGTAAAGACAATGCGCACCGAGTGAGGAGCAGATCGATCATAGAAAAAATCGAGGCAGATGAGTGAAAGGAACCTTTAGTTTGACATAAAATGCAGTTGTACCTGGATTTTCTCTCCTTTCTCTCTTTTTTCTTCGTCCAAATGAATTGTAAGATAATTCTGTTGGGTTTCATGGACCGATGTAGTTTTCGAAAATTAATCTGTATACACCTCGACTCATGTCAGTGTCAATTAAATTGTGCGACACAAATTTCAAAAAATCATGAATATTCAATGGTCTTTAAATTATATTTTGTACAGAATTATGATTTTTTAAAAATATTCTTTGTTTATCAATAAATAATTGAACTAGTTTAAACTTTCTTAAACCTCATTTTTTAGGCATGAAATCAATTTCTGGGAAAATTCTGAATATGATTTTTATAGTGGAAAATTGATTATTTATAAATGATTCATAGAAAATGCTCGTAATTTTCAAAAACTGTTATTATTTTCATATTTCATCAATCTTCCTCCAAAAGTAAATTTTATAATATTCTTTCAGCTTTTTAAAATGTTTTTTAGCCATTCTATATCGACATTCAAACTGAGACTTGCAAAGTTTAAGTAATAAAATCATTACAAAATGATAAAATCAAATAAAGCTCAAACGACACTCATTTCACTGGAAAAAAATAGCTGAAGTCCTTCTTGGATACCCTTAAATTCAATCAAGTGATTCATCCCATTCCACCCACAATCCCAATAAATTCTGATTCTGAACCATGGATAGGTTACGGTAAAACACATAAAGATGCTGCCAGTGTTCGTACGACACATTCGATACCAGCTGCCTGTGGCCTCTACTACTTCGAAGTGAAAATAGTGAGCAAGGGTCGCGACGGCTACATGGGAATTGGTCTGTCAGCTCATGGTGTCAACGTTAATCGATTACCAGGCTGGGACAAACACTCGTACGGATATCACGGTGACGACGGACACAGTTTCTGTTCATCTGGCACCGGTCAGCCTTATGGGCCAACATTCACTACCGGCGATGTCATTGGCTGCGGTGTTAATCTGGTTGACAACACAGCCTTTTACACGAAGAATGGCCATCACTTAGGCGTCGCATTCACAGATCTACCCGTAATCAACTCTGTTCGATAACTAATTAAAGAAATGCGTAGGAAGCGGTAAAACGATTTGTCGATTTTGACTATTGATCAGTTTTCAATGAATATCTCGGAATCTAAGGCAGACAGCAAAATTTTCGTCATGAGCTTTCTTGTAGAGCGAATTGAGAGCTATGAAAAAGGTAGTAACGAAAATTTCGCTATCTCCCTTAGATTCAGAGATATTCCTCAAAAACTTGACTGAACCAGATTTTGACTATTGTTCAGTTTTCAATGAATATCTCGAAATCTAAGGCAAATAGCAAAATTTTTGTTATAACCTTTTCTGTAGCTCTCAATCCGCTCTACAAAAAAGGTCCTCATGAAAATTTCGCTATCTCCCTTAGATTCCGAGATATTCCCCGAAATCTCAGCTAAGAGCTGAATTAAATCGTTTTACCGCTTCGCTACTGATACAATTCCTTAATTAATTTTATTGTTATTGAAAATGGCTGTGTATTTGTCATTCTCAGCCAAATTTGTATCCAACTGTGGGTCTCCAGACACCAGGCGAAGTTGTCGATGCCAATTTCGGCCAAACTCCATTCGTATTCGATATTGGAGACATGATTAATGAGCTACGAGTTCGCACGAGATTGCAAATTATCAATTATCCAACGCCAGATCATGGACAGGGTCAGTGGCAAGCCGTTCTTCACAAGTATGTTGATATAAATGTTTATTCTCCCTGCATGTGCATTCCAATAAACACGAGTCGAATTAGATAAATTAAAGAATGAAAATGACACATTGATGGATTCAACAGAATGGTATCTACGTACCTTGTCCATCATGGCTATTGCGATACTGCCGAGGCGTTTGCCAACAGTACGGGACAAGAATTTGAAGAGGATTTCAACTCCATTAAGAATAGGCAAAGTAAGTAAACTGCAATTTTTTTTCGATTTTGGCTATTAGTCAGTTTTTTATGAATATCTTGGAATCGAAGGCAGATAGCAAAATCTCCATCATGACCTTTTTTATAGCTTTGAATTCACTCTACAAAAAAGGTCATGACAAAAATTTCGCTATCTCCCTTAGATTCCGAGATATTCCTCAAAAACTCGGCTGAGAGCCAAGTCGACTCAAAACATTTTACCACTTGGTTCCTGAATTATAATTAAATTATAATATTTATATCGTTTTGTTTTTAGGAATCTTGAAGCTTGTTTTAGCCGGTAGAATGGGCGAAGCAATAGATTTAACTAGCCGATTATATCCAGGACTTCTCGAACGCGATCCAAATTTAATGTTCGCCCTAAAATGCCGTCAATTTGTTGAAATGGTAAATGGCAGTGATTCAGAGGTTTATCAGAGCAATAGTGAAAATCAGACGAGTGTTATACAATCAACCAAGACGTACATAAAATCATCAACGAACAGAAATATCGATGAGATGAATTTAAATAATACTATTAATGGTGCTGGTGAATCGCAATTTATCAACGGTCAAATGGAGGAGGATGTAGATATGGAGGAGAATACAACGACTAACGCTAATGGCATTAAAAATGCAAATGGATATCAGAATGGTAATCCAAATGCCAATGGTTACAGATGCCAAAATGGTGAAGACATTGACATGGGTGTGTATTATTTTTTATGTAAAAACAAGCATTTTCGCTTGGATATTATTTTCACTTATTTATTTTTTTATTTTTACCAATTTTTCTTTCATTTTCGACACTACAATCAATACTTTGCGCATAATAGGGGAGGGTAGGACAAAATGGGATAGTCCAATTTTGCACAAAGAAATTAGAAATTTCCTAAAATCATAAAGATATTCATTACTCGTGCAATTTGTTTCCTTTTTCCTCTCGTTTATTGATCTCTGATGGAATTACTGAAATGTGGGAAAACAATTGATTAAAAACGGATAATGAGTGTACAAAACTCAGTGACCAAGTGATAGACTAATCGTTCTCGAGATATGAAATAAATATGAAATCTATTGAATATATTGGATGATAATTTGACTGATTACAGAAATAGATAGTGCCAATCAAACACAGCAAAATGGCAATTCCAGTAATCCCCAAGTGTCAGTGGGAAAATGTATAAAGAAGCAATTGTGCGGTGGTAATAAGCAGGCAATCGAAAAAATGCTTGACTTTGGCCGACAATTGTATTCACAATCAATACACCTCAGACAACAGTACGGAAAAAATGAGTCCAATAAAAAAATGCTCCAAGATGCATTCAGCTTATTGGCTTACTCGAATCCATGGAACTCACCAGTTGGATGGCAACTAGATCCTCAGGAAAGGGAAACAGTCTGTGCTAGACTCAATTCAGCAATTCTTGGTAATATTTTAAGATTTATCATTGGTCAGATTGGTGATTGGTTTCTAGGTCCCTTCGCTGCCTTTCCCCTTCATATTACGTTTTTCATTTAGAGTCAACGAATCTTCCTCGACGGCCACCACTAGAGGTTGCAATATCACATGCCAAAGAGTTGGTACGTTTGATGTCTAGTGCTGGCTTGGGTGCTTGTGGCTTTGCAGTAGTCGACAATATTATTCAATATTGACGGTGCCTGCCTCTGCCACCACGACCACCCCTGCTACCTGCTCGTGTGTGGTAAGTGTTTAGTAGTTCATAATCTCAATTCAGTCCATTTTCCTGGTTTTTAACGAATATCTCGAAATCTAAGGGAGATAGCTAAATTTTTGTCATGACTTTTTTTGCAGCCCTCAATTCGCCCTATAAAAAAGGTCATTACGAAAATTTCGTTATCTCCCTCAGATTTTGAGATATTGCTCGAAAACAGCGAAGCGACAAAACGGTTCGTCGATTTTAATGTTTGGCCAGTTTTCAATGAATATCTCGGAATCTAAGGGAGATATCAAGATTTTTGTCATGACCTTTTCTGTGGGGCGGATTGAGGGCTACAAAAAAGGTTCTGACAAAGATTTCCTTATCTCCCTTATATTTCGAGATATTCCTTGAAAACCAAGAAAATGGCTAAATTGACTTCAATGTAAACAAAAATTAATGCATTAAATAATACTTTTTTTTATTTCATTTCCACAAGGAGGATCTTTTAATAGGTGGAGAGGAATCGTGGAGCAGACTATTCATTGTTAATCCAACAACTTCGTGATGTAGCGCGCGTGCCTCCAACTGGAAAGAAAATCATTACAATATTAACGAGCCCAATACATACATGATGAAAAATTATAATATTAATAATTATAATGAAAATAATTGTAAGGTGATTCAAATTTTTGTCAGTGATATGCACGGAACGATCTCACGCCCCAATTACAAGAGATTGTGAAACAATTGAAATTTCCAGTGGAAAAATTACTATACGTAAATAAAAACATTATTATTCGAAAAAATAGACAAATGGTAAACGCTCAGGCCTGCCAACCAAAATGATACTCCATGTTCCCTAACGAAAAATTGATATAATGATGAGTTTGAGGATAAATTGAGCAAACAGGGGTGAATTTGGTATTTGCGGATTCAGATGTCATTCGATCCCCATTTTACAGAAATGTCTCACTTGCATCTCGTTTACTTCGAGTCAATCACAAAAATTCAACAACAATTCCTCTTCAGTTGTTAATAATGAAGATGAAATGTTATCTTTGGGGGAACAAGATTCTAGAAACTTCATTGTCGTAGTCATCAAATCAAACTTTCTGTTGTTATATGATACTATTAATTATTAGATAACCAGCAACTGAGGAATGGTGAAAAATTAAACAAAAAATGATAAAAACTTAATTAAGAAACGATCTTGTACTCTACAATAAGTCATTGTTTTTTATATGCGAACATAGTATATTAAATTATATATTATTGAAGAAAGAAAAATTGTAATAATAATAATAACATGATGACGAACAGTTGTTGCAGCTGGGCATAAGTGTGCGTATAAATCAATTTAGAATCTTTAATCACTGAGAATAAGAATTTAGGTTTAAATAAATTATAGAGAGGGAGAGAAAATTAAAAAAAAAACTGGATTATAAAAAAAGCAAAAAAATGAGCGTTATTATGTTTTATGTACCTTAGATAGGAGCTAATAATATAGCAGTGATTTTAACAGGACGATTATTTGATTTTGTATTTTTCAATTTCTTTCATTATTTCACAACTGCATTAGCGAGAAAATTTGACATTTGAAATAAAATGAGAAAAACAAGCTGACTGCCTCTGCTGTGGCTGAATTCGAAATCCGCTAGATCATCCCTTTATTTCAATATTTTTTGTTCGTCTCCTGGATTTTTCTGATTTGATTTTTCCAATTTTTACTTGTTCTTTTATTATTCAAATATTTTTTTGATGGTTTCGTGTATTGAAAACTGCCTCAAGGTCTGAGGTTTATTTATAAGAAAAAAAATGGCGGCCTAGTCGAGCAGCAGCTTCAGATCCTCTCCAGTCAGTCTGACGGATTAGATAACAGCAATTGAAAAGAAAAATATTGTATTTGGCAAAGGAAATATTTGGTGAGGAGAATATAAAGTGAAGGCTCGAGAATGGTTGATCATCCAGCTATTTTCATGGCGTTTTATACCATTTATATGGCTTGGATGTTTAAAACTGATTGGATGAATGGAGAAAGAGATATCATCGGACCCAGACCCAGAAGGGGGCCGACGTGGAAACCAAGGGTACGCGATAATATTCATTATTTTTCTCCCACTCGTAATTTAGTAGCGAAGCTATAGTTTTTAATGGATATCTTGGAATCTGAGGCAGATAGCGAAATCTTTGTCATAACCTTTTTTGTAGGGCGAACTGAGAGCTACAAAAAAGGTTATAACGAAAATTTGGCTGTCTCCCTTAGATTCGGAGATATTCCCCGAAAACGCGAAACTTAAATCGTTTTTCTACTTCACTACTGAATTATCAATCTGTCTAATTGTCGTCGAGTTGAGCTCCGTTAGGAATACGAGTCCATGTGATATTACTAGAATTAAAAAACTCATATTTGTTTCTAGGAGCTTGTGAAGAAAAAAACCGACTCTTAGGGAAAAATACTTCCGAGAAAGTGCGAATTTCGATCCATATTTCGAGTTGTTCTCCCCCCAGTGTTGGAAGTGAATCAACTCCAAACATACATCGGGATTATTTGCATATATCAATGATTTATTCAGTAAAATGTCGAAACACTAAGTTTCTCTGTAATTCATGCTAAGAAATAAAAATTATTGAAAAGTAAAAATTTCCTTCGAGATGTTGAATGATTGAGTGAAGGAACAGGGGTTGCAGACTAGTCTTTGAGGTGCCCCATTTTGCCCTACCCTTCCCTCCCTTCCTACCGACTCACTTGTATACATAATCATATATCGACAATAAACTAATTATCCAGTTTGCAATCGTCGCCTCACCCCGTTGATTAATTATGGGGAGGAGGGGTAGAAGAAAGAATTGAGCAACAATGTCAGACTTTCGAAAGCACATTTTTTTCATTTTTTCTTTTACAAATTTTTTCACTCATCTTTTGTCTAGATTATGGACAATAACGAGTTGTTGTGGGCGTATTTCTTAAAAGTAGTAATGTAATAATCTGTGCAGTTGTATGTGCAACTCCTTCCTTTTCATTTTTTTTGTGTGATGATTAAAGATTCCATAATATCGTATTACATATGTTCACAATATCACCGGAAGTCCAATATTATTTTTTCCCTTTTCAATTTATTTTTCCTTGATGTAATATAAAGAATGCTTACACGAAAGTGGAGAAGTGAAAACATTTTCAAATTATGGGAGCATGACGATGATTTCTTTTACATTTTTTTGGGTTATGATATTTTTCATTCTTCAGCGTTTTCTCTAATGCTAAAATTTGAATAGTGTCTTCTCACCTGTTTGTATAAAAAATCTCGATCCTCATTATCGATGGGAATTCGATAAATTAAATGTCTGGGTGATTTTCCGGAGCACGCGTACGAATGAAATTGCAATTCTTTCGGAGGAAGAAAACAGAAAAACAAAAAAAATTGGATTCAACTTGCAAATGACATTTTTTTCTCATCAGTTCTCTGCATACGTGTTTCGAAAACTTTTACGAGGGGAATTGTCTCTTAATCTACGTTATTCCACACGAACGAAACTCTTCGTGGCTTGGACAATTTCATGTTTACGGGTTAGTCGGTGTAAACATAATAATGTAGCCTGGAAAATTTTATTTTTCGTGATGTCATGCTTGATTCATTTTCCTTTTCATCCATTTTCATGCGTATATTTATGTGCACCAGTAGTTATGATATGAAACATGGCTCAATCATCAGCTAGAAATAGACCATTTTGTTAGCTCACTGAAATTTTTCAACTCCCTTAGTATTAATTACTCATATTTTACAATTTCTCAGTTTCTTTTATGGGTTATTGCTTTATTCATGATTCTCATGGATTCATTCACCTGCCTTGCGCTCCTTAATAACTAGATTTTTTTCCATTACGAAATAAATATTCAGATGTGTCATGAAATTGATACTTTGCACCGATTGTATGGTCGATTGTCCATAAATAAATATCATAAACATAAAAAATATATGTTTTATCCAAACTGTAAAGTAGTGTGAATGTCGATATCCATTTGAAATTCAATTTCCTAAAGAAACCTCGACTTTATCAGTAAAGAAATGGTAATCTTGAACCGATAAATAGTTTTGCTATTGTGTTCGATATATTTCGCTTCATTCTGGGGCCTTACTCGAAACTAGAAAAGTAAATAGGACTGCAAGACATACTCATGCTCATAATTTCTCTCTCGAACTCTAATTTTTCGGTGGCTGATGAAAGTTCAATGATATCGTCCATGATTATCTATTATTTTTACGTTCATTAGTTGAGATTGACTGAAAAAATTGATCGCTTAGGCATTCAAGCTTGTGGTGAATAATGATAAGTGTTTAGTCAGCCTACGGATTTTTATTTTCTAACGATAAACGAAATTCAATGAAGAATAACAGTGAATAATTTTTTTTTCATACAATTCCACGTTGGACATGATCAAATTTACTTAATCAGTCATCGAAATGTTTTCTGTGTAACATGTGCGTGTTTTAACTCGAATATCTTCAAATATTTTTTTTAATGTTAATTTTGAATTATTAACATTCAACAACAACGATATAACAACACTCTTTGTTGGAGATTAATGATGAAATATACTATGAATTTACTCATTTTTCTTATATTTTTTTTTTCACATAATTCAATAGACTCACGCAACCGCCAAATTTACATGCTAATAAATCTGAGTTAATGCAATTTACACGATTGAAATTATTGCGAACATTCTCTTTGCATACTTACTATAATAAAATTCCATTATGCGCCATTCGTGTTTTTATAATTGTTCTCCCCCCTTTTCTTTTCTTTTGTTTAGTATTTTTTTTCCAATTCAAGCATAGTATTGTCAACAATTGTGTTCATCTTTTGATCTCTTTACTACGCTATTCAGCGGTCTGTTGATCTTTTTATTTTCCCTCATTTTTCCCTATATTACCACACTAGCACGAGTACAACCATTTGGCGCTTTGAAAATGATTCATAATTTCTGGATCGTGAGTTTGTCAGTTCTACTAGGGCTGTGGCATCGAAATGGCATCTCGAGGTGTGCCAAGTGGTTGCACTGGCCAGTGTGCCACACAGAAGTAACACTTCAACTTTTTTTTAATACAGAATTTGCGTTTCACTCTCAGCTTAAATTTATGTACCGTGCAATTTTACTTTCCATTCAGTAGTCGTAAAATTGATATTACTCTAGAGGTTTTTCATCTCTCAATTAAGTTAATATTTGGAATGTTATAATGTGAAAAAATTCAACCCGTAAACATACGCATGGAGATTCCTGAAGCCCCCCAATTCTATGTGTACTGTCTGAATAGAAGAAGAAATTCATTCTTTTGAATTTTTTTTAAATGCAAGACTGGCTCTCTCATTGTTCATCTAGCAGGAAGTAAAGAGTGATAAAATGATTTGAAATAAGCAAGTGAACTGCTCAAAATCATCATCGCTATCGTAAATTCAGAGGGATATCATTAATTTTCTTTTTCATTTTTCTTAATTTGTGGCACAAAGACATAATCTCTGAGAAATGATTGATGGATACGTGTACGGTGTCGATAGTTAAGGGTAAATTATCACAGAATATTGATTTCCACATTGGAAAATTTTATCTGAAACTCGAGAAAATGTTCAAAGAAACTTTTCACAAAAATTTCATCCAAAATATTGAGACTCTGCTACTACTGATGCGGACATTTCAATGCGCTGACCACATTGTCCACTGAAATATTCGCATTAGTAATCGTTAATGTGGCCTCATTAATGTAATGAACGAGTTCAGAACAGAATAAATATTTATTGGAATGCGTAGAGAATCCGATGAATTCAAACAGACTTCTACAGTAATTTTCAAAAGGGAAAATGATAAAAATGTCAATGTCGAGACGCATAAGTCTACTTCACACACATCGGAATAGGATTGTTAGCATTGTCAAGTTCGCTCATGAGGATGCCTAGATACTGTCTTATGTTCAGTGATTCAATTGAAAAAAAAACAACGGAAAATAGCCTGCGCTAGTGCAGGAACTAAACTCAAAAATCTCTTCATATTCAACCTCTTTTACTCCTTGGTTCAGTGATTTATCTCTTGTATTATTAAAAATCGTATTCTTTGTCTGGAATGCAAATGTAATTTCCACTATTTTTACTCGATTTTCCGAAAAAAGCGTTTTTACGATACAACCTGTTTTTATTTATTTTTCTTATTCAGTTATCTAGACGTTACTACCTTATTCTTGTTTTTATCTTGAAAGTATTTTCATGTTGAAGATGATAATTGTAAAAATGAATTTTCATCGTGAATTTTATACCTTATTCAATGGATTTAGAGTAATGCTCACAATGTTTTAATCTGAGAAAACAAATTTGGCGAATGGACAAATGTGTATTCATATTGCACGAGGTACGAAGGAGTGACATTATTGAATCTTGCAATATTATTGTTTCTTCTTTAGTTTATTATGCCTTTAAATCTATCTATAAACTCATCATGAGTATTGAGATTATTCACTCAAGACTCGATTTTTCTCCTCTACTATAAATTCTTCAGCCAATGAAAACAATTAACGAAAATAAAAATGAATTTGCGATGAAAAATTGCAGTTCTTTAACTCTCCATCGTAGCTCAACTCTATGTATGATGTATAGCGGTCAGACTCTTGCAATCTCTGGTTAATTTTTCGTAAGTAAATACATATTTTTACAAGATAATGACTAAGATATTTGCTTCTTTCTCATTGATTCACTTATGTTTAATAATTAAATGGCGTGTCGTGAATATCGTCATGACTTGCCTATTGGTCGTACGCAAAAATGCTATCTTAAACTCGTATTAGAAAAATTCATTTTTTTGTGTTCGTTTCCGCGTTGACAAAAATCGGATATCTACAGTTCATTAGTACGTTTTTTTTTATCGATCAACGATTATTCTCGTCTCCTTCAACGTTCACATGTGCCTAAGAGCATTGTTGTGGTTCGACTTTAAATAATCACTTACTTATAATTTGAAAAATAATTCGAGTCCTCCCCCCCCTCGAATTTAATGTTTTGAATGGTCTTTATGTATTAGAAAATCTTTTCGGCACATTCATATTTTGTATCACCTTCGTCATCTCTCGTTGATCTCAATGATACGAGAGAATTCATAATGTCGTGAGAGTGATTGAGGTCTTCATTAACATTTCGACGTCAATATTTATGATAACATCACTGATAATTTTATCATTTTAACGACACACGAGTGGAATTCACTGTCGCATCCCGAGAAGCCAATTATCCTCTAGTATCATAACTGATGCTCTCACGACATTATTAAGCTTTTTATATACCTTCCAATAATTGCGTAGATAAGCTTACTGAAAAAATATTAAATGTTCCCGTCACTGTCATGCCAGTGTGTATTTCAAATGTTTTAAGTTGGATTTGGTAATGGATCTTCCCGCCGTATATCACCTTTCAGCTTCACAAACTCCTTAGCAACATCATCATTATTCCTCTGGGAAAGAATTCGCAGTATCGTCCAACCAGTTTCATCCATTTGAATTCGCTTGCCCAGTGATAGCCAACACGCGCATGAGCCCTCCTCGATAATGTCTTTCAGTTGTAATACTGCAACACCGACTAATCGATCTTCACGTGCGAAACAGTAATCCTTCACGCAGATGTGGAGCTCGAAGTAATCAAGCTGCTGCTGCTCATTTCCGATGATACTAGAGAGGAGAAGGAGACAATTTTACGTTATTCTTCTTCGTTATCGTCATTATTATCGTATGAATGGGAGAGTAAGTTGGGAAAAAATGTAACATCGAAGTGAAAAGAGGAATGAGGGAAACCCAGATTAAGAGAAAACAGTTGGAACTGTTGGGTCTGAGTGTGCAATAAAACTAGATTCTCGAGTTGATGAAAGTAATAAAAAGGGTCTTGGGTTTTGGCTTCAGCGTGAGTTGAAGTCACGTAAATTCAAAAAAATAAAGGGCGGGCAAAGTGGGAGTTTTTGTCGTGAAAAAAAATTCTGGAGATGGGCGGGGTAGTCCGAAAGGGTCAAATGCTCCTCATTTTTTGAGATTCTTGACATTAACTGGAATTAGTGAGTTGAGTCTCTAGATTTCAGTGATAGAGTCCTTAGCATCAAGGATTCTATCACTGAAATCTAGGGGCTAAACTCCTATTTGACCTTCAGGATTATTCCGCTTCTCTTCTATTTGGCATTCAATTATGAATCCCTTCATTATTATTTCATTACTTACAAGTGGAATGTCTCGTTGAATTTCGGTGACCAGGTATTGCTCTTCGATTTAGTCGCTTGTTTTCGTTTCTTCTCAGCCAGATGAGGCCCAATTAAATTGACTTCAACGAAAGGCCGGAACATGCCGGTTGCCAGCGGCCATTTGAGATCATTTGCTGCTACAACTGTAAATACGTAAATTCGAAATTTATAGATTTTCAGATTTTCTATTCAAATGTTCGCATTTCAGCGCGTTTCGTAGATTTTCTTTTACCTTTAACTGTCACTTTTTGCTCTCCTGTGCCTGGGTGTGTGAATAGGTCAACTTGAATGCTCAATTCTCCTACAGACTCGCCATCTGCATTCATCGTATCTGGAATTTTGATAATCGATCAAAATCAATAAGGCAGTGGCGCAAAAGTGCATTAATCTACGAGTGACTTGGAATCAAATGATGGTTTTTTCACTCCAATGGTGGAGCAAAGGACATGCCCCTAGAATGCGAAGGCAGCTTGCATAATGTTGCGGGCACTTAGGAGCTCTAAATAGTCTCTTACATTTCAATGCATTTCTATAAATATTCTCTTAATTTTTAATGCATTTCTTGCGACTTAAGCTGATTGATCGTGTGGAGATGAATGATTGCATGTTTTTTTTTTTCGTTTTACTCGTTCTTTTACGCAATAACATTAGCAGTAGGTTATCAGCGGGTATTAAAACTTGATAAACAATCGAAACATGTCTACATTTTTCGAGGAATAGGGATGATTCACAGTGATTACTGGGTGTGAAATGTTTTTACGATCCATATTATCATCATTCCCATGAGTTGGTTTAGAATTTTTTGCACAAGTTTCTTGTCATACGTCTCGATTGTACCAAATCTTTCATACAATTCTAAAATGCTCAATTAATCTAGGCTACTAGTTTGACTGATTAATTGTTCTTAATGAACTTAATAATCTCATTCTCTCTATTGGCCTCAGAGTAAAAACTCTGCTACCTTGCCGACTTTCCCTCCGCAGTGGGGGTTTGCTCTGGCGAAGGGGCTCTTCAAGGCCTTCCATGCCATCTCCATCTTCGCCTTCATCACCCCTTTCGCTGCTCATCGAGCGTTGACGTTGGCGTAATGTCGTGGCGTCATTCAGCGGCACTGTTTTTTTTGTTTTGTTTTTTTTTTTAATAATAATAATTTTTCATTTCATTTAACTCAACACAATTCACCGACTATTTTTTTCGTATCTACATGTTTGGTCTTATTTACTTTCAAATTAATTAAAAAAAAAAAAAATCAAAGTCCTAGTATTTAGGTTTTACTTACTTTGATTGAGCTGAGTTGTAACGAAAGTCTTGATGAGGGTGTCCGTTGTTTGAGTGTAGAGACTCAATGCGTATCTCAGGCTTTGTAGTTCCGGTGACTTTTCCAAGAAATTTTTCTTCAGACCTCTACCTTCGGCGTAGAAATAATCTTTGACTGTGTTCAGTGCTTTTTCTAAAACAGCGCACTGCCTTGGCGATAAATTCTTCTCGACTTCCTTTGAAATGTCCTGGAGAATGAAAAAACAAGTGGGAAATTACTTTCGTGACATAGTCAATAGATTTTTGGTAATAAATTAGAAATTTGCTTTCAAAAGGAATTTTATAACGATCTATTTTAGATTTAATTCAATGATTCAGTGAATTCAATTGGCCCAACATTGGCCCAATGTTGGCTGCCAACATTTCCCCGACATTGGCCCAACGTTGGCAGCCAACACCCCGCCAACATTGGCCCGACGTTGAAAACCGATATTTCCCCTGGATTTCCACAATGCTGGCTGCCAACATTCCCCCGACATTGGGCCAACGTCGGTAGCCAACATTACGCCGACATTGTGCCAACGTTAAAATGTTTCACCTTTCCCTGAATATTAGTTTCAAATAAATTTTTTCGACAGATGATGCACCCAATCTTGTGATCAAACTCGGTCAAGATGGCGTTGGGGAGAATCCCAAGAAATCCCAATTGGATTCATTCAAACAATTATTTTTTCAGTGATCGTCTAAAACGGTTCACAAGGAATTGAAAAACAAATTTTCGAAAATACTATAGTAATTTTTTTTACCATGACTCCACTGAGAGCATTCTTCACATCTGGTTTCCCAGCCATATGATTTTTGAATAGTCTCCCCATGTCCTCGATCTTGGCATTAGCCGCAATGTTCTTGGCATTGTCCGTCAAATTTTTCAATACCATCTGTGAATAACAACATACGAATGAATATAATTGGGGATATAATACAAATCAGTCGTATTATGCCAGACAGTTTATCTGAGATGAATAATTCCATTGACATTACCGTTTTGTCCGTCATGGGTGGTAACACAACAGTCTTCTCCATTATCCTAATGACAATTTTCCAGAGCTCCTTCAAAAGCCTCTTGAACACTGTTTTCTCCGAGGAATCAGCGTACAGCGATAAACTACCATCCAACAGATCCATCAAAGGTCTCAGAACATCATCAGCTTCAACCTCAACACTACTTCTCTGATTCTGCTGATTACTAGCCTTGATATTGACGAGTCTGTCCCCAACTTCCTTGACAGAGGCCGTTATTTTGTGCTCTAGACTCTTTGCAAAAATAACAGCAAGCTCATCCAACGAGCCATTCAACTGCTGTTGCAAATCTTTCAATATGGTAGCGGCATCCTCTTCCAACTCTTCACCCCCCATTTTTTCAAATAATTTCTCCAGCTGTACCCTCAACTGCTGAACATTGTTCATTAAAATACACGCAATTCTCTCCTCTTGGAGGTAAGAAGGAAATTCCTTTTTGACAATATCAGCGTATGTTATCAATACTTTGACGATGGTTTTGGCGAAGCGTTTCATGTAACGTTTACGTATTTCCGGATCGGGACACTTCAATTCAGATACAACTTTGAAGCACTCAGTCAATTGGGTAAATATATCGACAACTGAATTACTGAATAGGGCATGTTCGCTACTCTTCTGGAAGCCGTCCTTCTTATCTCTATTAAAGGCACCATGAAGATAGTCGAGTGAATTATCGTCATTGGCATTCAACCACTGCATGACAAATGGCTCGAACCATGCTGGATATTCCGGGACTTTGCTCTTGTGGGGCGGGACATCTTGTACAAATTCATCGTAAAGACCTTTGACTTTGAAATGAAGATTCATGTAGTCAGCGCAGTGGCATAATCTGTGGGACTCGTGCTCGTCTAATGCATACTTCAAATCAATGGCAAATGAATCCCACATTGTTGCTGCTGATAATTGACCAATGTTCAGCTCTTGGGGGAATTGATTGAGCACCGGACCGTAGCTCTTCTTGTCCTCCTCGATAACCGCTATTATGAGGGTAATCAGCATGTCCCAAAATTTGAGGGAGTCAAGCGCTGGTTCGCGATCCTCTGGACGTGGCTCGTTTCCCTTGGATGTTTGGTACTCCCGTTGATACAGATCGGCGCAATTTTCGAACAAAAATTGATAGGTTGATCGAAGACAGGCCTTGACGCAGTCTCTAACGACTGTACTTGCTCTCGGTGGACTCGATAATTCCTGAACTTTCATTCGGAAAAATGTAATACTTGTTAGCAAATCTACTGTACTTTTCAAATCCATGAGTTTCTCGGGGCTCGAGGCTGGAAAGTTATTGCGATATCCTGACAGATCTATTCTCAGTGAATTGTGAAGTTGGTCCAGTAGTTTAACGAATTTCTCTTTTCCAAAATTACTCGCGGCGAATCTGTCGCTCGCTGAGACAGCTGAACTCGCTGTTGTGTGAGCGTAGTAGGCGTTTATGTTGGCTAGAAGGGTTGACATGACTGCTGGCACACCTGGACACAGGTATTTTGTTGATAAACAGTGAAAATGCGTCATCGCTTGGTAAATGCTTTCAATTCCATATCGCATTGCAAATTCGTCGACAAGCTCTTCCCCCGGTGGATCGAAGTATACTTTCCATGCATCGTCTCCTTTAGCTTCTGGCAATGATACCATTTCGTTGTTTCTCTCGCACAAACTGTGGAAAAGATTCTCGTGCAGGCATGTATACTGCACATGGTAGGGCGCAACTTTTTCCTCGCCTTTTATCTCTACACTTATGTGCAATCGAATTGCCCCGGATACAGCACTCTTGTCCGTACGTTTTTCCAAGTTGTACCATACGTCCATCTCACCACTCAGAGTTCGCACCTCAATGATTGTTTGGCCCAGAAAATCATCGCTCTCTCGGGTCAATTTTTGCCGGAGTTTCGATTTCAGATCGTTATCCTCGTCCCAAACTCGTACTTTTATACGATCTGAGGAATTGTGGCACTCGCTGGGAAAAATATATATTATTTCAAGGGTCTGATGGTTCGCTTTCAACTCAATTTCAAACCCACTGTTTTGCTAAAGGTAATTGTTCAGATTATTATTCAGAAATTCTATTGCCAAAGTCGTCATAAAATGGGTTTGAAATTTATGAGTTTCATTTAGCTAGACGGTATGTTCTTTTTTGGCGCTGATTTTTTTTTGGTGCACACAGTAATTTTTGGCGCATATGAAAAAATTTCCTCAACAATTGAACCGCACACGGTGATGAAAAAAACCGTGTGCGTTCTGAGACCGTCAGTTTAACGGTGACAGAAGTCAGATCAAGGGTCAGAGGGTCAGATAAGGGTCACAAGGGTCAGATTAAGGTTCANGCCTTCTGATTACCATTCGGTCAGATCGCTTCAACATACCCTCATTGATTCACAATTTCGAAAGACTGCACTACAAAAATTCGGCTCTTATTCTAAGAACCAAATGTCGCGATTTTTAAGATCCAAATGTCGCGATTTTTAAGTACTGAAACAAGTCTTGATTTAAGACCCGAAAGCGATCTTATTGCTAAGATATCATTGAAATCATTGAAGATATGGCCAAAAAACCAAAAATTCCCTAAATCAATCAGAAATCCTGTGGTGAGGAGGGTCCTATGGACGTTGGGGACCAATGGGCCCCGTTTGTGAATTCGATTGGGGTCATTTAACATAATAAAACGATCCCGGCCGGTTTTGGGGGTGAAAAATTTTTTTGTCAAAAAAAATGGAAAGGGGTTAACCTTCAATTTTTTTCGAGCAAAAAATTTTTCACCCCCAAAACCGGCGGGGATCGTTTCTTTCTGTTAAGTGACCCCAATCGAATTCACAAGCGGGGCCCATTGGTCCCCAACGTCCATAGGACCCTCCTCACCACAGGATTTCTGATTGAATTTGGTCAATTTTGTTTTTTTTGCCATATCTCCGTCAATTTTCGTCAACAATCAATTTGACTACAACAAAAGTTGTGAGGAATGAACTCAGCTTCAATCTCCAGGAGAGAAAAATGAGATAGGACAATTATAACTGGAGATAGGACCCAAAAACTGACTAAAATTTCAGTTTTTTGGAAATATCTCCGGTCCTAGTTCTCCTATCCCATTTTTCTCTCCTGGAAATTGAAGCTGAGCTCACTCCCCACATTTTTTGTCTTGGTCAAATTCATTTTTGACGGAAATTGACGGAGATAGTACCCAAAAACCGACTTTAGGGACTGAGATGTTAATCTCAGTTTTTTGGAAATATCGCCGGTTCTAATGGTCCTTTCTCTTTTTTCTCTCCTGGAAATTGAAGCTGAGGTCACTCCCCACATTTTTTGTCTTGATCAAATTCATTTTTGACGGAAATTGACGGAGATAAAACCCAAAAACGGACTAAAATTTCGGTTTTTTGGCCATATCTCCGTCAATTTTCGTCAAAAATCAATTTGACCAAGACAAAAAATGTGGGGAGTGAGCTCAGCTTGAATTTCCAGGAGAGAAAAATGAGAAAGGACC